TGAGACGGAGGCCCTCTTTTTCTCTCCTCCACATCACTGCTTAATCCCTGCTATGACCAGGTGGGTGTAGCAATGACTGTAGCTCCTCAACCTGATGAAAATAGTGTTGCATTCAGAATTCGATAAATGAATGGGAGGGACAAGTAATGCTTCCCCCCCCCCGCCCCCCCCCCCCCGATGTTTTGTTAATTAAATTAGCATTTAAATAGCCAGAGCTAATCTGGGAAGTCAGGCCCTCATTACAGTAACTAGGAAGGGGGAAAAGAGCTGCAGACAATTCCCTACAAGATGGGGTTAAGTTGGCGTTCACAAACTATTTGCCCAGCCTGTCCCTCCCAAGTGAAAGCTGCCACCCCCCCCACCCACCCCCCCTTTCCTCCCAGAATAATTAGCATGTTCCAGTGCTGTGAATGGAAACAATATCCTCCTCCAAGCGTGCCCCTCCAGGGAGATGCTTCCCACAGATTGTGAAACTTCTGAGCCAGGGAAAGGGCTTGCCGAGGAATTCACAGTGGGGTAATTACACTGAGTAGCTTGTGCCCGGTGCAAGATAATTGCATTACTGTAATTCATTGCAGGAGGCAGGGGCTCGCATAAAGGAATGTCCAGAGGCAAGACTGCAGAGCCATGAGAAGTCATCGCCTTCCCAGAGCCCCGATAAAACCCGACTTTGAAGCTGAGGATGGTTCTTTGGCCTCCGAGGATGTCTCCGTCTTCAGAGAAGTTTGCAGAACGTAGCAACGATCACGTGCGAATCTGGTTTCTCTTTGGCAATTAGAATGGAAAGGTTGAAAGGGTGAGTTTTCAGATTTTAAAATAAATTCTTCATCCCAAGTAGAAAACTGAAGCAAGCTTGCAGAATTGGATGCTTTCACTTGTTATTGTCCATGTATAGGCACTTAAAACATGCTGGCCCCTCTTTCTATCAAATGGAAAAGCTGGTCTGCAATCCTTTCCCCACAAGATTTACTATTTAATTTTACATATAACAGAGAGACCAATGATAACTAATATCAGAGGAGAAGATGCAGGAGGAAGGGCTGGATTTGGGTGACACCTGCTATCCCCAGCAGTATCACATCTGGCAGGTTTCATCCCACTTATTTAAATCGTATTCCAGGTGACTCAACAGAAAAAACATCACCCTCCACTTGCGGCTCATCATGCCCAGCTGTAAAGCGGGGATTATATTTACCTCCATTGCAAAGTACTCGGTTCAGAAGACGTTGGTGCGGTTTGCTGAGGCCCCGGCTGGAAAATACCACAAGAAGTTCAAAGCCCGGTTTCATCCTGTAATTGGATCCTCAAGTCCACAAGTGCAAAACCAACTGTGCGGGCTGACAGCAGGTCCTCCCCTCTTCCAACAAGAACCCCACCACAACACGGGGCTGTGGGCTGAGCTGCAAGCGTGGCATACCCAGGAGCTGCTACTTTCTGCTGCTATGCACAAAAAAATGTTGTTTAAAGCTTTTGCCACCCTGTTTGATCTGACCTGCTGTTATTTTTCTTTCTTTTTTTTTTTTTTAACTCTAAGACATCTTCTTAACTCTCATGCTCACTTGGGATGCTCTTAAGAACATGGACTTTAATCCCAGTGTTACTTAAATACCAATTTAATATTTGTTTTCTCTCTGCCTTGACAAGATATTCCTCAGGTCAAGCAGGCATGAAATGATAGATATTGAGTGCAATTCTTCTGGGCAAGAAGAGCTACCTTCTAAGATCTTATCTCAAAACCACTTGGAAATGTGTTCTTTATTTATTTATGCCATAAATCTCATTCGATGTGAAGGCCCAAAGGATTACAATTCTGAATTTGTTGGTTTGCTGTTTTGTTTTCTTTTTTTTTTCCCCCCGTCCTTGCTGAAATCTGGCCTTTCAAAATAACACAGAGAGAATCTTTGTTTTGATCTAAAATAGCAGCTGCAAGGGCTTTCAACCATGCCATTTAAATGAGATTTCTTTTTTGCATCTTCGCATTATAGTTTCATTCTCGGTCTCTGAGATCAGTAGCTGCGGTTGAGCAGCCGAGCCGTCTAATGGGAATAAATTGTAATATTGTTCCAACTGTCTCCGATTATTACTGTCTCTATTAATGAACCGCCTTCATTAAGCAAACTGCAAAGTGTTTGACGGCGGCGTATCAGAGGTTGCTCTGCGAAGCCAGACCCAGCCATCATCTAACCCCACGGTCTTTACGTTGGGTTACGGTTCGTGATCCTCGCGTGACGTGATTTCTAACGGACAGAAACCCCACGGACCAGCAGAGCAATGCCGCCTTGCTTTGTGACTCCCAGAGAACATCTTGCGGCGAGGTGAGGTTTTGGGTCGCAGCGGCGATGCTGCGATATATCGCAGTATTCCCTCAAAAGGGCCCGAGGCACAGGCAGCACAGACTGAGGTGGGACAGGGCTGGCCCACAGCCACTCTGGTGATGTGTGGCAGGACCTGGGGTGAGCCTGAGACCCCCCTTCTCTGTCAGCGCGACACAACCCACAAACGCCATTTGGGGCTCGCCCCCTCACGAAACTCGTCTATGCTAGCGGACCACATATCCCAGCATGCAATGCTGTCCCGCCAGGAGACGGGCGCGGAAAGGACTACAACTCCCAGCGGGCATCGCGCCTCGCTGCCCGCCTCCCCGGAGCGGCGGGGTGGGCGGCGCTGCACGCTGGGATCTGTAGTCCAGCCGGACGTCGGTCACACACGGTGCCTCCCTTCCTCCGCCCCCCCCCTCCCCCGGTTTGACACCCCCTCCCGCCCCGCTCCGCCCTCCTCCCCGCCCCGCCGGTTGTCCCTCGTAAACGGAAGCCGAGGAGGGACGAAGGAGCCGGGGAGGAGGTTGGAGCAGCGCGATGGGGGACTCCAAAGTGAAGGTGGCGGTGCGCGTCCGCCCCACGAACCGGCGAGGTGAGACTTTCCTCCCTCAGTGACACTCCCCCGCTCCCCGGCGCTGGTGTGAGGGGAGCGGGCCCGAGGGGCAGAGCGGGGCGGGAGGCCGGGGGGTGCCGGTCCTCATGGGTGTCTGTAGGGGCAGGTGTGGGTGTCGAGGTGCGCGTGACCCGTCGCGGGGGCGTGTTTATAGGTGTATGTGTCGGGGGGGGGTGGGGGGGAAGTGTGTATAGGTATATTTATTTATTAATTAATCTTTATGAAGATCTTAGTTTTGTCATTTAGACGTAAGGTATTTTCACACTCTCTTGTATAGTCAGTTTTTCCCTTATTTGTGCTGGCTTCTATGTAGCAAAGGGCAAAGACAAAAATCACTGTAAGGCAACAAACTTTGGCAGAGGGCTATTCTGCAGAAAATCTGGTGACGAAAAGAAATAGTGAAAGAAGTATACTGAAAATCTGTGAAACTAATGCAGAAAGTGAGGATAGGCAGCAATATATTAAAAATAGTATTTCACATTCCCTGGTACTATGAGAAATGCAAAATGAAACAGTAGCTATTAGCTTGGCATGTCAAAAAAGGCCAGTTGTAAGGTGCTTACTTAAGAATGTTGTAGGAGATAGAGTGTGCGGCAAATCGGTTTGCGATGTTACAGCAGGGAGTGAATTCAAAAGCGATTTCAGGCAAGAGGGAGCTGGAACATTTCTGGGGACCAGTAGCACTAACAGTGGCAGAAGCAATGGTGAAGAATTTACAGGATTTCAGCACAGAGCAGGAAAACTAAAACAGATTCCGATAAAATGCCAGGGCAGTTTACTGGGAAGGATGTTTCTACTTTAGAGAGCTCATTTTTGCCAGTTTGTAAATTCATAGCGGCCGAGAGTCATGAATGCCTCACAACTGGTGACTGCAGAGCTAGAAAATGGAATGACAACAGCTCAGCAGCCGCTTTAGAGACAGCCAGCGTGGCTTCGCCGAGGGCAAATCGTGCCCGACTAATCCAGCGGCCTTCCATGATGGAGTGACGGCATTAGAGGACGAGGGAAGAGCTACGGATGTCACCTGCCTGGAGGACGTCAGTGAGGCACGGACAGGTTCTGGATAAATGGCTTTTAATGGAAAAACTGAGAACAAAACACGCACTACCAAAGCTACTACATCGTCAACACACCTCCCCCCTCCCCAAACCCACCCGTTCCCCGCAACAGGCCCAGTCCCACCCCCCGCCCCAGCACTGGCTGCAGGGGCCTTGCGCTTGCCGCCATTTTCTGGCCGGGAGCCATTTTGCCGCTTCTCCGCTCGCTTCTCCGCTCGCTTCTCCGCTCGCTTCTCCCTCGCTTCTCCGCTCGCTTCTCCCCTCGCTTCTCCGCTCGCTTCTCCCCTCGCTTCTCCGCTCGCTTCTCCCCTCGCTTCTCCCTCGCTTCTCCGCTCGCTTCTCCGCTCGCTTCTCCCCTCGCTTCTCCGCTCGCTTCTCCCTCACTTCTCCCCTCGCTTCTCCGGCTGGTGTCGTGCCGGGACACACTGCCCTGAGGGGGTGGCAGGTCTGTCCCCACGTCCTGCCGTGGATCCTCAGCCCTCATCCTGATGGGAGTTAAGTGCTCCCTGCTCAGGGTGGCTTTGGAGGCCTTGGGGACACGAGTCATTGGGGAGCATCTTCTCGGGCAGCCACAGCGAGCTGATCCTGCGCTGGGGGATGGAGCCACTAGTGCCACCGGTGTCCACGGGCACGGGGACGCTGCTGGAATCGTCCCGGCTGATCCCCCCTTGCCCCCAGGGAGCAATCCAAGTGCCTCATAGCCTCTTCCAGCAGCACCACCTCAGGCAGCACAACGTCACCGGCTGGAATCACCCCGGGGTCCCTGATGGCTTGGACGTGGAGGGCAGCAGAGTGGCTGGGGGAGATGTTACCACCCAGGGGGTGCCCTCATCCATGGGGACATCACTCGCCAGGGAGATGTCACATCCTGGGAGGATGTCCTCATCCATGGGGACATCACTCGCCAGGGAGATGTCACATCCTGGGAGGATGTCCTCATCCATGGGGACATCACTCGCCAGGGAGATGTCAACACCTGGGAGGATGTCCTCATCCATGGGGACATCACTCGCCAGGGAGATGTCAACACCTGGGAGGATGTCCTCATCCATGGGGACATCACTCGCCAGGGAGATGTCAACACCTGGGAGGATGTCCTTAACCATGGGGATATTGTTGCCTGGGTGGCTGCCACTGCCTGGGGGTGCCGCCAGCGGTTGGCTCTGCTGGACAGGCCATGGTGCGTGTACTGTCCCTCGACGTGGTGGTGGCTGCGGAGGGACGGTGGCAGCACTGGACGGGCTGAGGCCGCTGCTCTGCCCTGACAGTTGTGGGGCAGGACAGCTCAGCTTGGCTCTGGGGGGCCCATTGCTCTGCCCAGGCCGGGGGGAGCCGCAGCCCGGGGGTCCCCACAGGGCAGCGCCTGGCCGGGAAGCAACGCTGTGGCCGGTGACAAAGGTGGCAGCTGGAGGCAGGTTGGTGCTCGTCCACTCCGAGTGGGAGACATGGGGGTTGAAGCAGCTGCTGCTTGGAGCCATCTGCAGACCTGCAGAGGTGAGAGGGAGATGTGCAGGGGTGAGGACCTGGAGGAATCTCCTGGGGCACCCCCTGAGCCAGCCCTGAGCACAGACATCCCCTGCTCTGTGCCGGGTGAGTGGGGAGCTTGTGGCAGGGACGATTGTCCATGTGGTGGTGAAATGGGAGAGATGGCTCCAAGAGATTGGGGAATTATCTATAAATTATATTTACTGGGCAGGTTGATCCTGACAGAGAGACATGAGCACTCACTGGTGATCACATCCCAAGCCGGGACAGGAGGGCGCATGAGGGGACTGAGAAGGAGAAGGGAGAGGCGCAACGGAGAAAGGGCTCTGAATTTCCCCAGAGCGAGTCCCGGGGCTGTCGGGGTCAGGGTTAGTCCTCACCTCTGGTGTAGAAGGTTTTGGGGAAGAGGAATGGCTGCAGTAGCTGGGCCATCGGAGGAGCCCCAGGGCCGCACAGTGTGTGCTGCAGAGCTGGCAGTGCCATGGTCACTTCTGTCCTGTGGATTCTGTTTGAGTGTTGCCTGGCAAGGAATGTTGGGGCTCCCCGTGTTCTGTCCCGCCCCCAGTAGCTTTGACTGCTCTTCATGCAGAGGGAAAGGGTTAACAAAAGAGTTGAGTTAAGAGTTATGGTCAATGGCTCAATGTCCAGGGGGAAACCAGTAAGGAGTGGTGTCCCTAAAGGGTTTGTACTGGGACCAGTACTATTTCATGTCTTCACCAATGACATAGACAGTGGGATTGAGTGCACCCTCATCAAATTAGTGAATGACACCAAACTGAGTGGTGCAGTTGCCTCACCTGAGGGAAGGCATGCCTTCCAGAGGGACCTGGACAAGCTTAAGAAGTGGGCCCATGTGAACCTCTTGGAGATCAACAAGGCCAAATGCAAGGTCCTGCACATGGGTCAGGGCAATCCCCAGTAACAATACAGGCTGGGGGATGAGTGGATTGAGAGCAGCCCCACAGAGAAGGACTTGGGAGTACTGGTGGATGAAAAGCTGGACATGACCCGGCAATGTCTGCTCGCAGCCCAGAAAGCCACCCGTGTTCTGGGCTGCAGCCAGAGCAGGGGGGGCAGCAGGGCCAGGGAGGGGATTCTCCCCCTCTGCTGCGCTCTGGGGAGACCCCCCTGCAGTGCTGGGGCCAGCCTGGGGCCCCTGACATCAGAAGGACACTGACCTGCTTGAGCAGGGCCAGAGGAGGCCACAGAAATAATCAGAGGGATTAAACACCTTTCCCATGATGAAAGGTTTGGGGTGGTTCAGCCTGGAGAAGGGAAAGCTCTTGGGGAGACCTTATTGCCGCCTTTCAGTACTTAAAGGGGGCTTATAAGAAAGATGCAGAGAGACATTTTAATAGGGTCTGTTGCAAGAGGACAAGGAGCAACAGTTTTAAACTGAAAGGGGGTAGATTTCGATTAGATGTAAGGAAGAAATTCTTTACTGTGAGGGCAGTGAGGCGCTGGCACAAGTTGCCCAGAGCAGCTGTGGCTGCCCCCTCCCTGGAAGGGTTCAAGGCCAGGTTGGACGGGGCTGGGAGCCCCCTGGGCTGGGGGAAGGGGGCCCTGCCCGGGGCAGGGGGGTTGGGACTGGGTGATCTCTGAGGTCCCTTCCAACCCAAACCACTCTATGATTGAATGACATTTTTGTTCTGGAGCAACTTTCTGCAGACGTAATTTTTTGATCCCGCATGTGATGAATATTAGGAGCAACAGTGTGGCTGTGAAGCTGACTGTGGAAGAGCCTCTTAAGAGACATCTCCTCAAGGCAAGCGGGAGGCCGTATGCTGTACAATGCAGCTCTGGGCAAGAGGATGTCTCTGCAAAGAGATGGGCCTTTGAGCTGAGGGTGTTGGAAGAGGTGGCTTGGTATTTCTGGCAGCTACACACTGCTCCTTGCTTCTCTGGTTGCGATGGCCTTGTGCTGTGCAACAAGCTCTCCTTCATGCTCTTCACTCGTAATAACGTGGTTCTTTGCCTTTCTGAAAACTCAGAAAACTTACCGGCACAAACCCGATGCTCCTTCCCATCCCAGTTATTCGCAATCGGGAGAGGTATTCCCAAATTTTAAGAGAAAATATTTTTGTGTTTTCTTAGTTTTGCAGGCATCCATGAGTGAAGGACCAGAGTACCTCAATCTGTCCCTTCAACAATCCTTCCCCGCTCCATGTTTTCAATTGGAAACCGCACCAGTGAGCTCCTAAATCCAGGTATCATGTACACCAGTGAAGTGGAGGTCTGGAAGCAGAGACAGAAGCAAGGTCTAAGTATCAGAGCTGGGCTTCATTTTCCCAGTAAGCAGACCCAGACCTCAGCTTGAGTTCCCTCTTTATACACATTGAGATATGGATAGGTACCTTAGGGAACATCTAATGTCAATGCTCACCCATACAGAAATACCACGGGGACTTTTGATTTAGGAGCCAAACTGGTTTGTTTGTTCAATGGGCACGTTTCCAGCAGAGGCCCATGACACCAGCTTTTAGCAGTACACTCCCAACACTTGACATTTATTAAAGCCACAGCTCAGTGAGTGAGGTAATTACCTGGGCATTTCCATTTTCATTTCTAGTAAGTCCAAATTAAAGTCCAAATAAAGTACATTTTTAGCCCTTCGGCAAAGATTACTCCTTTTTTTTTTTTTTGAACACTTTCCTTCAGGTAGTTAACCATTCATAATACCCATCAATAACCGCTTAGCTGAAGGTATTAGGGTTTAGGGTTACGTAGACAGTAGTAGTCAAAATGCTGTTTCATTCTTTTTGTCACATAATCTTTACTGTATGATAAGCACTACGTAGTAGGCACAAAGCAAAAAGGAGGCCCCCGGTATTTACTTCTCTCTGATAACCCGTGCTAATGAGTTTGCTGCCATTTTAGCTGAAATATGGATAAAAGAAATCCCATCTCGTGTCCTAACGAGCGCAAGCCCTGAGCGTAGACAAACCCTGGGAAGGGCCACATAAGGGTTGTGGCAAGATCAGTGGAAATCCTCTGCCCAAATTCAGGGTGCCAGGACCACATCTGTGTCTCCATGCTTGGCTGCAGCATTTTAGGAGCCATGGGAGAGTTGCCAGCACCCCTTTGCTCTCCCACTTTCACCCCAAAGGAGCTGGTCCAGGGGAATGGGTGCCACCAGGCAATGGGTGCTCATGCTGCGAGGGCGGGTAGAAGTCCTTGCTTGTCCCCAGCTCTTTCCTTAAAAGCAGCAGGGGAAAATCAATAAATAAGGAAGGACAGGAAAGGGGACCATTACAATTAGACCTGATTTTATTTTGCTCCGTAGCCACCGGGCGTCACTCTTGCCTATAGAGTCAGAAAGGAATTTTTGGTCGTCGCTGATAAAATCCCATTTCATCCATAAATTCTACAGCTCCCGGCACTGACAGCAGCATCCCCATTTATCAAAATTTCCCAAGTTTCAACATCAAATTACCAACTCGTTAAATCTGGGGGTATCTGGAGCTGGCAATTTAGCCTGCGGTGTTATTTGCTAAACATAGGCAAAACACATTAGGGTTTTTTTATTATTATTATTATTATTATTATTAGTGTAAATGCAGCTGGATAATTTAGATCTGGGTTTGGATTAGGATCTTGGCCAGTGTCTGTCGGTGTCTGGATTACCAGGACATGCTCTGAAGCTGTACAGCTTCTGGGGAAGAGGGAAGGTGAAGAAGAGACAAGGTGTGGATGGGCAGAAAAGCAAAAAAATGTGGCTTTTGCAGGCGGCGCCTCTGCAGAAGTGGAGCAAAACCAACATGATTCAGCAGATGAAGCTGTAAAATATTCCAACCTTTGAAGTCAAGGCAGTTCAGCCCTGACCATTCATGTATCTCAGAAGTACTAGGAGATAAACGCGGGAAACATTACACAGCTCGGTAAATATGCGTTCATCAGAGTACCCGTAATTGCCATTGTGTTGGGATTTTTGCTTTTATAGAACTACAAACTTGTCTTACAACTGCTAGAAACGCTCTCCCGCTAATTTTGTATTTTTCAAGTTCTTCAGAGATTCTCCATTTTCTCCAAAGACAGAAAATCTATTTTCCTTTCAAACAAAGGAAATCCAGTGTGGAGTCTTTACCTGAGGAAAGAACCTCTCAAAGAAAATGTAACACGGCTGGTAAAACCAGTTGCTCTGAAACACTCTGTATCAGCAAACTGAACAGCTGATAAGAATAATAGAAATTTTTAGTCAATGAGAAAATACTCATCAGGAACCTCATCCTACCAGCACAAAATTTGCTAATATTGCCTGGCCTTGCGTTGCTGCCAGAAGTATGAATTTGTACTGAAATCCCACTGTATGGGAGAAGCACCCCAGCCAAAGTGTAAGAAATTTCACTGCTATAAACAGGGCACATATGGGTTTATGGAGACATCGGGGTCTGGCTATTGATTTGTGCTTTCCTCTGGGTAATACATGTCCTATAAGCCATGAGATTTATGACCAGGACTTTGAACTCTGGAATAACTTTTAAAAAGAGGGGGCTGTCTATAAAAAGTGTGGTTCGGGTTTTAATCTGTTATAATCTAGTGCCGCAAGAAGACTTCGAGAGTTCATTTATTTGGCCGTGAATACTTTTCACACTGAGACTAGGAGGCCACACTCAAATACCTTCAAAAGTTCATGCCAGGATCAGTGAAATTCAGAGTCACGAATGACCCAGGGAACAATCAATCCTTTGATTATAGGAAGTTCCTATTAAAATAATGGAGCACAGAAAGTGCCTTGCTAAATGAATGTGAGTCTCCCAAACCTGTACATTTGCGCAAAGTGTTGGCTGAGAAATTTCAGCAATTCCTTTTAAAAAAAACAAAAAAAAAACAAAAAAAAAAACAAAAAACAAAAAGCAGACAACATTTTGATATCAAGCAGAGTTTTGACAACTGATTTGGATAAATTGAATTTCTCTTTTATCCAGATTTCTTGACCTGTTCTTAATACCAATTTCCCTTGGTGCTTGCTTTCTTGATTATAGTTGAAAGAAATTTATAACAATCTATCTTCTGTTTTCGCTTCTACGTACCTATAAATTTCTACTACATTTATATATTTGTATCTCCAGACTGAAAGCAAGATAACCTGAAGGCAAACTTATCGTACCAGAATAAAACTCTTTACTCCTGGGACTGGCCAAACAACAATCTATGAAAAATGCAAAACAGCAACAGGTCTTGTTTTTAAACTGTTTCGCAAAATATTTTTGTGCTGAGAACCTGATCACTGAAGATGCTAAAGTGCTGCTGGCTGCCCTGAATGCCTCCCAGTCTCTGACTGGGACTGTCCCAGTTGGTGCTCAGCTTCTTGCAGAAGTGGACCCCTTAAGAGTTTGCATACAACTAACTAAACACTAGTAAGATCCTCTGTTTTAGTTTTCCAACACCTGAATGATTTATGGCAGAAAGTAGGTCTACTGCAAATTCATAATTGATGCGTCTCTTTGATACGCAGTCTAACAAATGAAAAAAATATTTAAAATACAATTGATTTGTTACTTGTTATGGACTGGAAGAAGACTTCCAAAAGACTGTCATGTTTTCTGGCTTGCCCTGAGATACAGTTCTATCTAGAAGATCCGAGATCCAAACCATTCATACCTTCACCTAAACAAAAACAAAAGCCATCTTCTTCCCTTGGGTCCTGGTGATACACACACCCCAGCCATCCCAGTTATGTGGGACACATTAAACTGTTTTGACTTGGTTACTTCTAAACAAAACCAATGAAATTCAGTTGCTTATAAAAAAATGAGACGGAGGCCCTCTTTTTCTCTCCTCCACATCACTGCTTTAATCCCTGCTATGACCAGGTGGGTGTAGCAATGACTGTAGCTCCTCAACCTGATGAAAATAGTGTTGCATTCAGAAATTCGATAAATGAATGGGAGGGACAAGTAATGCTTCCCCCCCCCCCCCCCCCCCCCCGGATGTTTTGTTAATTAAATTAGCATTTAAATAGCCAGAGCTAATCTGGGAAGTCAGGCCCTCATTACAGTAACTAGGAAGGGGGAAAAAGCTGCAGACAATTCCCTACAAGATGGGGTTAAGTTGGCGTTTCACAAACTATTTGCCCAGCCTGTCCCTCCCAAGTGAAAGCTGCCACCCCCCCCACCCCACCCCCCTTTCCTCCCAGAATAATTAGCATGTTCCAGTGCTGTGAATGGAAACAATATCCTCCCTCCAAGCTGTGCCCCTCCAGGGATGCTTCCCACAGATTGTGAAACTCTGAGCCAGGGAAAGGGCTTGCCGAGGAATTCACAGTGGGGTAATTACACTGAGGTAGCTTGTGCCCGGTGCAAGATAAGTTGCATTACTGTAATTCATTGCAGGAGGCAGGGGCTCGCATAAAGGAAATGTCCAGAGGCAAGACTGCAGAGCCATGAGAAGTCATCGCCTTCCCAGAGCCCCGATAAAACCCGACGTTGAAGCTGAGGATGGTTCTTTGGCCTCCGAGGATGTCTCCGTCTTCAGAGAAGTTTGCAGAACGTAGCAACGATCACGTGCGAATCTGGTTTCTCTTTGGCAATTAGAATGGAAGAAAGGTTGAAAGGGTGAGTTTTCAGATTTTAAAATAAATTCTTCATCCCAAGTAGAAAACTGAAGCAAAGCTTGCAAGAATTGGATGCTTTCACTTGTTATTGTCCATGTATATGGCACTTAAACATGCTGGCCCCTCTTTCTATCAAATGAAAAGCTGGTCTGCAATCCTTTCCCCACAAGATTTACTATTTAATTTTACATATAACAGAGAGACCAATGATAACTAATATCGAGGAGAAGATGCAGGAGGAAGGGCTGGATTTGGGTGACACCTGCTATCCCCAGCAGTATGCACATCTGGCAGGTTTCATCCCACTTATTTAAATCGTATTCCAGGTGACTCAACAGAAAAAACATCACCCTCCACTTGCGGCTCATCATGCCCAGCTGTAAAGCGGGGTATATTTTACCTCCATTGCAAAGTACTCGGTTTCAGAAGACGTTGGTGCGGTTTGCTGAGGCCCCGGCTGGAAAATACCACAAGAAGTTCAAAGCCCGGTTTCATCCTGTAATTGGATCCTCAAGTCCACAAGTGCAAGAACCAACTGTGCGGGCTGACAGCAGGTCCTCCCCTCTTCCAACAAGAACCCCACCACAACACGGGGCTGTGGGGCTGAGCTGCAAGCGTGGCATACCCAGGAGCTGCTACTTTCTGCTGCTATGCACAAAAAAATGTTGTTTAAAGCTTTTGCCACCCTGTTTGATCTGACTGCTGTTATTTTTTCTTTCTTTTTTTTTTTTTTTTAACTCTAAGACATCTTCTTAACTCTCATGCTCACTTGGGATGCTCTTAAGAACATGGACTTTAATCCCAGTGTTACTTAAATACCAATTTAATATTTGTTTTCTCTCTGCCTTGACAAGATATTCCTCAGGTCAAGCAGGCATGAAATGATAGATATTGAGTGCAATTCTTCTGGCAAGAAGAGCTACCTTCTAAGATCTGTTATAAATTGAGACCACAATGGATCATAATCCAATTATAATTTTATTAATTATAGCAAGTAGAATATGAGCAAAGACAGCGCTGGACGGCAGGGGAGTCTGCGCTCCGCCAACTGCCGTACTGATCAGTTCAAACAGTTCCTTTTTATACATTTTTACATTCGTGGTTGTCTTTGATCAGTACCCCTTCTGCTTGCACAAGTATCTGGTTTGTGTAAGCAATTGCGGTTATCTTATCTCACGCAGTCATCTTGTCTCACAGGTTATCTTGTCTCACACAAGCGTGTCTGGCAGCTATTTGCATAAGCAGTTTTTTGTCTTTTGCCGCCTAACCTTTACATTGAGCTTAACATAAATTTCAATAAACAATACCCTTAGTTCATAGTTTCTTACAATCCCCCCTTTTTCTTTTATCCTATTATTGTTTATTAGATGCTACTTTCATTTTCGTCACTGCAAACAAACCTTTTTCCACAATTCCAACATTTATCATAACACTCTCAAGATAATACCTTACAATTACAATCATAGTTTTCACGTGGCATAACGCATTCACAACAATCTTTTCCACCAGGAAGCTCCTAATAGATCATCCCACCATTCTGAGTCTAACATTGAGGGTGTTTTCAGAGCACCATAGGTAAAACAGCTCTTATTCTATCTGCTATGTGCAGTTGTCGCCTTAATGTTTTTGCCGTGTGTTATTTATTCCTTGCTTTGTTCAGTTAATCCAACAAGTTGTGACCAACATGCAATTTGCTACTACTGTTTCACCTGTTGGTGTTAAGCAAATTCGAGCTGTGTGCCGAACTGCACAGTCAACCGTACTATCAGACACTCTGTAAACAATAATCAACAATTTATTAGCAAACAAGAACCTGAAATAATTAACTGTATAACAATCCAGCAAAGTCCCACGCGACACAATCAGAAAGAGAAAAAGTAAGAACCAAAGATATCAGCACTGTCCTTTGGATGTTGTCCTTCGATGTCTTGTTACCCTTACTCACGGGGCGATAGCGATAGAAAGATAGAGTCCAAGAACAACAGTCACGCCGCGCGGTAACTCCTCTGATCAATAACATTTTCTTCTTTGAACTATAAGTCTGTTTCCATCACCTCATCAAGGTTTCGAGGGCGTCTTAGTTGTCTTCGTGATCTTGGAGGATTGGGGGGAGGAGGTGATCTCCGACACCAGCCACGAGACATTCCCTCGCATACCGCGATGGCAACGACAGTCACCACCAATATAATGAAAAATCCCAACAGCAGGCGGCGCACACGGGATCGTCCCCTACTCCCATCTTCCCAAGATTGCAATCCAGCGGGATCAGTAAGATTAGTGGGATAGTCCAGCCCCAGGCTAGCGGCTTGACCGAGGAAGGTCCAAGTGCGCAATGAGCGGAAGTTTCTCTTCCACCCAGAATGCCTGTGCTGCCTAGATCTGGGCGGGCCTGGCAGTTGTTTTTGCCATCCGGGTATAGCCGAACTTTCGAGACCCTCCAACAACACATGCGCTTTGGACTGGGGGCGTGGAAATCCATTTTCCTGCTGCGTATGTGGACCCTGACTCCTGATCCCTACAGACCAGGCAGGTTCGCCACTCGCGCTCTCACTCTTGTACCTCCGATACCGCGAAAACAATGGAGCGTGCTTATGCATGGGCAGCAATTTATTGTGCAGCCTTGATGTTGGTAGCCCTCACTTTGTTTGCCTTTTTACTACATATCTTTTGCCCTTGTAAATGTTCCTCTTTCAAGTACCCATGTAGTTGTATCTGCTTATGTAAACCACCATCTCCTTTGGTTAACCATGTTGAAAATTCTGTTATAGGTCTTTTCGGCGGTTTTGGTACTGGCTGTTTTACTTCTGTCACATCTTTTACTTGGATTCTCTTCTTCCCACTAAAATATCTCCATCCACCCTTCTGTCTTTGGGAAAGCAAAGCCACTCTGATGTTGGACATAACAGTAAAGCACTTGCTGCACAAATTTGCCACTATTAAAGCAAACCATACCAGGATGATTAGCAGAGGTCCGGTATAACATATACTCCCACCTCTCATGCCTATGGGGTTGCAGCCCACAGCTGAGAAAAAGGTCTTCTTGGTGGCGAGCACAGAGGTTAACCCGGTCTTGCCCTCTACTGTTTAACAAATCCGTGTGTTAAGAGTTAGTCAATTCAAGTGCAGCTCCTTTGTAGCCACTTCCTTTGTTTCTAAGCAAAGCAAAATTTTGGCACTTTCCGATAGTGTCCTCCCATCAACTCTCAGGGACATCACAAATTCTGGGGACTAACCTCTTTTTCCCCGTAAATCAAGGTTACAGTTCATGCCCCTTCCCTATACAGTTATAAGACAATTTTCTCCATCTGCAAGAAATACCACATCCGGTAACACATTTCACATTCACACAAAACCCACGCTTCATGACATCCATGCATACACTCGAGACAAGGTATTACCAATTAGGTTGATTTTCTAGCAATGCCTAATTGACTCCAAAATGCTCATAATCTCACATGTCTGTCAGTTAATGCTCGGTAAACGCCAGCTTTTCCCTGACAGTTTTTTTTTGTTTGGTTTTGTCTGTTTTTTTGTTTTTGTTTCCTTATACAGCAAGTAAGTAAATGAATAAGTAAATTTTCACAGTGTTACCTCTGAACCCAGTCAAAAACCCAGTCAAACCACTGGTTAAGAGTCATTCAATCCCCTCCTGATGAATTTACTTAGTCCTTTGAGGGTGACTTGTAGTTGGTCAGTTGATGGTACCACAGTCCACTCCTGAGGCTTTTCCACCGGTCCTTTTCCTCAGGAGGCAAGAGTCCACCCCTTTTCTTTTGTTCGGATCGCTGTCTCGGTGGTCAGCAGCACCTGAAATGGACCTTCCCACTCGGGAGTTAATGATTAATCTTTCCACACTTTTATCAATACCCAATCACCTGGTTTTACATTGTGGATATTAAAAGCCAATGGTGGTATTTGAGGCAGAAGTCCTTTCTTTCTAGTTTCATTAAAGTGTTACCAATTCATTAAGTTACTTCTTATTACATACTTTCTTACATACTGATCTCCTACTTCAGGGATGACAATATCCCTGTCATTACTCATACATAGTAATCCAAACATCATTTCATAGGGAGAAATTCCCAGGTCTGTTCGTGGCTGAGTATTGATCCTTAATAAGGCCAACGGCAGGCATTTAATCCAAGACATCTGAGTCTCAATCATTAACTTAGTCAAGGTTTGTTTTGAAGTTTGATTCATTCTTTCTCCTCTTCCAGAACTCCGAGGATGCCATGGGGTGTGCCATGCCCATTCGATCCCTAAGGCTTCAGATAGCTGTTGTATATATTTTTAAAATGAAATGTGTTCCTCCGCCCAAGTCTATTCTTTCTATTAATCCATATCTGGGGATAATGTTTTCCAGTAACACCTTGGATACCATGCTTGCCATTGCCCTTGGTGTGGGGGATTGCTTCCACCCAATGAGTTAAGTGAGCCACTAATACCAACAAATACTTCACCTTGTATTTAAGGTAGCTCTGTTAAGTCTACCTGGAGGCTTTGTATGGCTAGCTCCTATTCCCCAGCCACCTTTTTTTTTTTTTTTTTTTTTTTTATCTCATTACCTTTTTGTTCACTTTTTAACAAATCAAACATCGATCAACTAGTTGTTTAGCCACCATATATATTCCTATACACCCATATTGTCTAAGGAAATGATCACAAAGTGATTGTGTTCCCCAATGTATTTTCTAATGTATTAATGACAGAATTTCTCATGATCTGAATTTCTCATGATCTTGTTTTGTTTAACATCTGCCTTCCATCTGCTAAAGTCCATTTTCCTTCTGAATCTTTTCCCCCCTTATTTTTAAGTATATCCTTTTCTTGTTCTGTGAAATTTGGGGCTAAATTCTCATAATCCCCTGGTATTATTACCAATAAAACTACCAATGATGATTCTGTAGCTGCTTCTCTGGCTACTTAATCTGCTAAATTATTCCCCCTTATTTCCATTGATGCTCCCCTCTGATGTCCTTTCACATGCACAATTGCAATTTCTGTGGGGAGCTTCAGGGCTTCTAAAACTTCTCTGATCAGCCGCTCGTGTACTAGCTCCTTCCCTTTTGTATTTATAAGCCCTCTTTCTTCCCATATTTTTCCAAATGTGTGGACCACTCCAAATGCATACTTTGAGTCTGTGTACACTGTCCCTTCCTTATCTCTCAAATATACCAATGTCTGTTTTAGGGCATAGAGTTCACAGACTTGTGCTGACCACCCAGCAGGTAATTTCCCCTTTTCAAACACTTCCATCTTCTGCCTCTCGATAATTACATAACCCAATATTTTTCCTTCTAGGCATCGAGAGGACCCATCAATAAATAGTTTTTCTCTATAGGGCAAAGGTTTATTTAACAGATCTTCTCTTATTTTCGTTTGATAATTTATAAAATCCAAACAGTTATGCTCTGGTTCCTAAATATCCTCCCCGATTCTCCTCCCATAATTCTAGTAATTTAACCACTAGTTTTCCTTCACCCAGCACCACACTATTCCTAATTGCACTTGTAAATCTCTACCTAGCAAATTACATCCTACCCCTGGCATTAACAACAAATCATTAACAGCATATTGATCTTCCCCTTGTATTAACACATTCTTTATAACTGGGACCAAAAACCCCTTCACCTTTAGCCCCTACAGCCCAAGTTGTATCTTTTACATAATCTTCCTCCTGGGGTCTTAATTTCAAATTTATCAAGGGCTCTTCTGTTGGTATATCCCCCAGGAGGTAGAGTCCCTGACACCCCTAGTGATTACCACCCTCATCCTGTTGGGTTACTTCAAACACCAACAGGTCCCGTATTCTCTGGGGGCATTCTTGTTTATAATGCCCCCCCTTCCCACAATGAAAACATTCCCTTGTGATTTCCCTAGCCAGTGGTGCCTCTTGGTTCCGCCTTCCCTTTCATTCCCTTGCCTGTTTCAAATTTGTGATTTCCCGTCTGAGATTCCTTGTGTTTGTTTCTAACAGCTTCTTGTGCAGTTATCATAGTTTTAGCTTTAGTTTTAGCCTCTTCTTCATCCTTCCTAATATCTACTTTCTGTGCTTCTCTCAGGAGTTCCTCCAGACTCTTATTATAATGACCTAGAGTCACTCATATCTCTCCTCCGCTCTTGTTCATTCTGATTCCACTGCAGAGGGGTTACAGGGAGTTTCCTTTCCCCGGGTATCCCCTGCTGATTTTCTCTCTCCCATATCCACATTCCAACCGTTCTGATCATCTGTCTTTCTTCAGGAGAGAAAAAAATTCCCGTAATCGACTGCATCTCCTCCCATGTATATATATACTGGGTCCCAAAAATTGATCAGTCTTCTCTGACAGCCCCACAGGGTCCTCTAATAACCTCCTAAATTCATTCTTATACGCCCTCACTTCTACATTAGTGAGCGGCACATCCACAAATCCCATCCCCCCTTGAATTCCTGCCGCTGGGACTTCCCGCAAGGGATTAACCCTAGCCGCCCCGTGCTCCCTTAAACGATTTCCCTTAAATCATGTACGAGCCGATATTTCCCATTTGGTTTCTTTACAGGCAGAATGGGGGTGTTAAAGGGTGACATACAAGGCTCTAAGATTCCTTGTGCTAATAATCGATCAATTTCTGGTTTTAATCCTCTCCGTCCGTCTAGGGAAATGGGATATTGCTTTACCCTCACAGGTATGTGGGGTTCAGAAACTTGGATTTTAATCGGTGGGATTTCCAGTCTACTAATTGTGTCCGGAGAGTACCAGACATCGGGGTTAATTTGTTTTTGCTCATCCACGGTCAAAGGATAAGTAGACACTGTTAGCTCTTGATTTTTCACTTTAATTTCTAATTGTAATTCAACAATTAAATCTCGTCCTAGCAGATTAAATTCTGCTTCAGGGACGAGCAAGAGTTCACCCATTCCAAATTTATTTTCAGTTTCGAATACCACATTTTTGATTTTGTTTACTTTAAATGGTTCTCCTTTTGCCCCAATTACTTGTACTTTTTCCGGGGAAATTTTACATCCCTCAGGTATTTGTTTAATAGTCGATTTTTCAGCCCCAGTGTCTACTAAAAAGGTGAACTCTTGTTTATGGGGACCTATTTTTAATTTTATCAAGGGCTCATGATGACTCCGGTCCCCTAAGATATAGAGCCCCTGGCTCTCCTATTCCGTTTTCAATATTTCCTCATCCCTGATCCTTTCTCTGCAATTCTTCTTTATATGTCCCTTCTTTCCACAGTAAAAACAACATCTCTGTTCCTTCTTTACTACTACGTTCCCTTGTTTCGTTCCAGCAGATCTGTGTTCACCAGTTCGTCCTTTACGATCCTCTCTGACCGCTGCTACCATCATTTTTACTTGTCGCTTGCTGCTCTCTTTCTCTCGCCTTACATAGACTTTCTGAGCTTCTCTCAATAATTCATCCAACCCTCTATTCTGCCAGTCTTCTAACTTTTCAATCTTCTTTCTGATATCTTCCCATGATTTTGCCACAAACTGAGTTTTGAGGAGTGCTTGCCCTAAAGGGTCGTCTGGATTTACCCCAGAATACAGCTGAAGGGCTTTCCTCAGTCGTTCCAGCCACTCAGTAGGGCTCTCATCTTTCTTTTGCATTTCATTAAATGCTTTATTAATATTCTGGCCACAGGGTACTGCTTCTCTAATTCCCTGAATTACTATAGTTCTCAGGTCCTGCATATGAGTTCTATGCACCGGATCCTGATTATCTCTATTAGGTCTTTGGAGTGGCCATTTAATATCCGCTTGAGGTCCCTGGGCATGTTGAGCATCCCACAGTCTCATTCCTGCTCGTCTAATCATATCTCTTTCCTCGGTAGTAAATAATTGACCAAGGATAGATTGCATCTCATCCCAAGTATAAAGGTTTGGTCCAAAAAATTGATTTAATCTTTCTGCCACTCCGAGTGGGTCCTCAATTAAGTTTCCCATCTCGGTTCTTTTAAAATCTCGTAGGTCAGCCGAGTTTAGGGGTACGGAAATATATCCGATCACGGGTTGAGGTCCCCCATGGGTATTTCCCTTAGGGGGTACATCTGAGCTGCCCCTTTTTGGCTTCTAGTTACACGTCTAGGAGGAGGGGGAGACTCTTGTTCCGACTCCGGTGGGGGAGTGGGCGCTCTGGGGACCTCTGGAGGGGCTGTGGGAGCAGGAGGGGAAATGTAAGGAGGGGGGGTTAGAAGGGTTTCGTCTAACCCTTCCTTCTTTTTCTTTTGTTTAGTTTATTTCATTCAGCGGGTAAAGTCTAGCTCCCAGTCTTTTTAGCCACACTCCCGCATACTGACTTTCTTCCGGGTTAAGGGGTTTTTTATTATTAACCCAGAGATTTAATTGTTGCATTTATCCAATCTTCTTCTGACCCGCAGACTGGCCAAAAGACATTTTTAGAAATCTTCTTCCCTCCCCATATCTTAGTACAATATTCTATCATTTTCTGCTTATCTTTCCCTAGTGTTCCAGGGAAATATCTCCAATTGTCTAAGATATATGCCAGAGGGGTATTCTTAGGTACAGTGGGTACCCTTCCCATGGGAGTCGAAGGCTTGCTGCCCTTCGCCCCCATCTTCTGGATTATCCACAAACACACACTCACTTGCTCCCCTTGTTCCTGGCCCAGTCCCTCGCGGGAAATGGGAAACGCAGTACTTAAGGGTCCGCACTCGCTTGGTTCAGTATATCGAACCTCTCATTCGTTATAATCCAGGAAACCCAATCCCGCCCGAACGGTAAACCCGCGAACAAATTCGCAATATACTTACGCATCCTGCGTCTTCGTCCGGACTCCCGTGCACAGAATTTTTATGGGATTTTACCGGTTTCTCCTTTGCTCATTATTCTAGAATTTAGGTTCGTCGGTAAGGATGGGGTGGGCTATCAGTCGCGGGGCCGCGGATTGCCGCGGGGCGCCTCCCCGGAGGACAGAAGCCCACCGTTCCTTATCCGAGTCACGGCACCATGAAATTGTTATAAATTGAGACCACAATGGATCATAATCCAATTATAATTTTATTAATTATAGCAAGTAGAATATGAGCAAAGACAGCGCTGGACGGCAGGGGAGTCTGCGCTCCGCCAACTGCCGTACTGATCAGTTCAAACAGTTCCTTTTTATACATTTTTACATTCGTGGTTGTCTTTGATCAGTACCCCTTCTGCTTGCACAAGTATCTGGTTTGTGTAAGCAATTGCGGTTATCTTATCTCACGCAGTCATCTTGTCTCACAGGTTATCTTGTCTCACACAAGCGGTGTCTGGCAGCTATTTGCATAAGCAGTTTTTTTGTCTTTTGCCGCCTAACCTTTACATTGAGCTTAACATAAATTTCAATAAACAATACCCTTAGTTCATAGTTTCTTACAGATCTTATCTCAAACCACTTGGAAATGTGTTCTTTATTTATTTATGCCATAAAATCTCATTCGATGTTGAAGGCCCAAAGGATTACAATTCTGAATTTGTTGGTTTGCTGTTTTGTTTTCTTTTTTTTTTTCCCCCCGTCCTTGCTGAAATCTGGCCTTTCAAAATAACACAGAGAGAATCTTTGTTTTGATCTAAAATAGCAGCTGCAAGGGCTTTTAAATGACCATTTAAATGAGATTTCTTTTTTGCATCTTCGCATTATAGTTTCATTCTCGGTCTCTGAGATCAGTAGCTGCGGTTGAGCAGCCGAGCCGTCTAATGGGAATAAATTGTAATATTGTTCCAACTGTCTCCGATTATTACTGTTGAGCTCTATTAATGAACCGCCTTCATTAAGCAAACTGCAAAGTGTGTTGACGGCGGCGTATCAGAGGTTGCTCTGCGAAGCCAGACCCAGCCATCATCTAACCCCACGGTCTTTACGTTGGGTTACGGTTCGTGATCCTCGGCGTGACGTGATTTCTAACGGACAGAAACCCCACGGACCAGCAGAGCAATGCCGCCTTGCTTTGTGACTCCCAGAGAACATCTTGCGGCGAGGTGAGGTTTTGGGTCGCAGCGGCGATGCTGCGATATGCAGTATTCCCTCAAAAAGGGCCCGAGGCACAGGCAGCACAGACTGAGGTGGGACAGGGCTGGCCCACAGCCACTCTGGTGATGTGTGGCAGGACCTGGGGTGAGCCTGAGACCCCCCTTCTCTGTCAGCGCGACACAACCCACAAACGCCATTTGGGGCTCGCCCCCTCACGAAACTCGTCTATGCTAGCGGACCACATATCCCAGCATGCAATGCTGTCCCGCCAGGAGACGGGCGCGGAAAGGACTACAACTCCCAGCGGGCATCGCGCCTCGCTGCCCGCCTCCCCGGAGCGGCGGGGTGGGCGGCGCTGCACGCTGGGATCTGTAGTCCAGCCGGACGTCGGTCACACACGGTGCCTCCCTTCCTCCGCCCCCCCCCTCCCCCCGGTTTGACACCCCCTCCCGCCCCGCTCCGCCCTCCTCCCCGCCCCGCCGGTTGTCCCTCCGTAAACGGAAGCCGAGGAGGGACGAAGGAGCCGGGGAGGAGGTTGGAGCAGCGCGATGGGGGACTCCAAAGTGAAGGTGGCGGTGCGCGTCCGCCCCACGAACCGGCGAGGTGAGACTTTCCTCCCTCAGTGACACTCCCCCGCTCCCCGGCGCTGGTGTGAGGGGAGCGGGCCCGAGGGGCAGAGCGGGGCGGGAGGCCGGGGGGTGCCGGTCCTCATGGGTGTCTGTAGGGGCAGGTGTGGGTGTCGAGGTGCGCGTGACCCGTCGCGGGGGGTGTTTATAGGTGTATGTGTCGGGGGGGGGTGGGGGGGAAGTGTGTATAGGTATATTTATTTATTAATTAATCTTTATGAAGATCTTAGTTTTGTCATTTAGACGTAAGGTATTTTCACACTCTCTTGTATAGTCAGTTTTTCCCTTATTTGTGCTGGCTTCTATGTAGCAAAGGGCAAAGACAAAAATCACTGTAAGGCAACAAACTTTGGCAGAGGGCTATTCTGCAGAAAATCTGGTGACGAAAAGAAATAGTGAAAGAAGTATACTGAAAATCTGTGAAACTAATGCAGAAAGTGAGGATAGGCAGCAATATATTAAAAATAGTATTTCACATTCCCTGGTACTATGAGAAATGCAAAATGAAACAGTAGCTATTAGCTTGGCATGTCAAAAAAGGCCAGTTGTAAGGTGCTTACTTAAGAAATGTTGTAGGAGATAGAGTGTGCGGCAAATCGGTTTGCGATGTTACAGCAGGGAGTGAATTCAAAAGCGATTTCAGGCAAGAGGGAGCTGGAACATTTCTGGGGACCAGTAGCACTAACAGTGGCAGAAGCAATGGTGAAGAATTTACAGGATTTCAGCACAGAGCAGGAAAACTAAAACAGATTCCGATAAAATGCCAGGGCAGTTTACTGGGAAGGATGTTTCTACTTTAGAGAGCTCATTTTTGCCAGTTTGTAAATTCATAGCGGCCGAGAGTCATGAATGCCTCACAACTGGTGACTGCAGAGCTAGAAAATGGAATGACAACAGCTCAGCAGCCGCTTTAGAGACAGCCAGCGTGGCTTCGCCGAGGGCAAATCGTGCCCGACTAATCCAGCGGCCTTCCATGATGGAGTGACGGCATTAGAGGACGAGGGAAGAGCTACGGATGTCACCTGCCTGGAGGACGTCAGTGAGGCACGGACAGGTTCTGGATAAATGGCTTTTAATGGAAAAACTGAGAACAAAACACGCACTACCAAAGCTACTACATCGTCAACACACCCTCCCCCCTCCCCAAACCCACCCGTTCCCCGCAACAGGCCCAGTCCCACCCCCCGCCCCAGCACTGGCTGCAGGGGCCTTGCGCTTGCCGCCATTTTCTGGCCGGGAGCCATTTTGCCGCTTCTCCGCTCGCTTCTCCGCTCGCTTCTCCGCTCGCTTCTCCGCTCGCTTCTCCGCTCGCTTCTCCGCTCGCTTCTCCGCTCGCTTCTCCCCTCGCTTCTCCTCTCGCTTCTCCCTCTCGCTTCTCCCGGCTGGTGTCGTGCCGGGACACACTGCCCTGAGGGGGTGGCAGGTCTGTCCCCACGTCCTGCCGTGGATCCTCAGCCCTCATCCTGATGGGAGTTAAGTGCTCCCTGCTCAGGGTGGCTTTGGAGGCCTTGGGGACACGAGTCATTGGGGAGCATCTTCTCGGGCAGCCACAGCGAGCTGATCCTGCGCTGGGGGATGGAGCCACTAGTGCCACCGGTGTCCACGGGCACGGGGACGCTGCTGGAATCGTCCCGGCTGATCCCCCCCTTGCCCCCAGGGAGCAATCCAAGTGCCTCATAGCCTCTTCCAGCAGCACCACCTCAGGCAGCACAACGTCACCGGCTGGAATCACCCCGGGGTCCCTGATGGCTTGGACGTGGAGGGCAGCAGAGTGGCTGGGGGAGATGTTACCACCCAGGGGGGTGCCCTCATCCATGGGGACATCACTCGCCAGGGAGATGTCACATCCTGGGAGGATGTCCTCATCCATGGGGACATCACTCGCCAGGGAGATGTCACATCCTGGGAGGATGTCCTCATCCATGGGGACATCACTCGCCAGGGAGATGTCAACACCTGGGAGGATGTCCTCATCCATGGGGACATCACTCGCCAGGGAGATGTCACATCCTGGGAGGATGTCCTCATCCATGGGGACATCACTCGCCAGGGAGATGTCAACACCTGGGAGGATGTCCTCATCCATGGGGACATCACTCGCCAGGGAGATGTCAACACCTGGGAGGATGTCCTTAACCATGGGGATATTGTTGCCTGGGTGGCTGCCACTGCCTGGGGGTGCCGCCAGCGGTTGGCTCTGCTGGACAGGCCATGGTGCGTGTACTGTCCCTCGACGTGGTGGTGGCTGCGGAGGGACGGTGGCAGCACTGGACGGGCTGAGGCCGCTGCTCTGCCCTGACAGTTGTGGGGCAGGACAGCTCAGCTTGGCTCTGGGGGGCCCATTGCTCTGCCCAGGCCGGGGGGAGCCGCAGCCCGGGGGTCCCCACAGGGCAGCGCCTGGCCGGGAAGCAACGCTGTGGCCGGTGACAAAGGTGGCAGCTGGAGGCAGGTTGGTGCTCGTCCACTCCGAGTGGGAGACATGGGGGTTGAAGCAGCTGCTGCTTGGAGCCATCTGCAGACCTGCAGAGGTGAGAGGGAGATGTGCAGGGGTGAGGACCTGGAGGAATCTCCTGGGGCACCCCCTGAGCCAGCCCTGAGCACAGACATCCCCCTGCTCTGTGCCGGGTGAGTGGGGAGCTTGTGGCAGGGACGATTGTCCATGTGGTGGTGAAATGGGAGAGATGGCTCCAAGAGATTGGGGAATTATCTATAAATTATATTTACTGGGCAGGTTGATCCTGACAGAGAGACATGAGCACTCACTGGTGATCACATCCCAAGCCGGGACAGGAGGGCGCATGAGGGGACTGAGAAGGAGAAGGGAGAGGCGCAACGGAGAAAGGGCTCTGAATTTCCCCAGAGCGAGTCCCGGGGCTGTCGGGGTCAGGGTTAGTCCTCACCTCTGGTGTAGAAGGTTTTGGGGAAGAGGAATGGCTGCAGTAGCTGGGCCATCGGAGGAGCCCCAGGGCCGCACAGTGTGTGCTGCAGAGCTGGCAGTGCCATGGTCACTTCTGTCCTGTGGATTCTGTTTGAGTGTTGCCTGGCAAGGAATGTTGGGGCTCCCCGTGTTCTGTCCCGCCCCCAGTAGCTTTGACTGCTCTTCATGCAGAGGGAAAGGGTTAACAAAAGAGTTGAGTTAAGAGTTATGGTCAATGGCTCAATGTCCAGGGGGAAACCAGTAAGGAGTGGTGTCCCTAAAGGGTTTGTACTGGGACCAGTACTATTTCATGTCTTCACCAATGACATAGACAGTGGGATTGAGTGCACCCTCATCAAATTAGTGAATGACACCAAACTGAGTGGTGCAGTTGCCTCACCTGAGGGAAGGCATGCCTTCCAGAGGGACCTGGACAAGCTTAAGAAGTGGGCCCATGTGAACCTCTTGGAGATCAACAAGGCCAAATGCAAGGTCCTGCACATGGGTCAGGGCAATCCCCAGTAACAATACAGGCTGGGGGATGAGTGGATTGAGAGCAGCCCCACAGAGAAGGACTTGGGAGTACTGGTGGATGAAAAGCTGGACATGACCCGGCAATGTCTGCTCGCAGCCCAGAAAGCCACCCGTGTTCTGGGCTGCAGCCAGAGCAGGGGGGGCAGCAGGGCCAGGGAGGGGATTCTCCCCCTCTGCTGCGCTCTGGGGAGACCCCCCTGCAGTGCTGGGGCCAGCCTGGGGCCCCTGACATCAGAAGGACACTGACCTGCTTGAGCAGGGCCAGAGGAGGCCACAGAAATAATCAGAGGGATTAAACACCTTTCCCATGATGAAAGGTTTGGGGTGGTTCAGCCTGGAGAAGGGAAAGCTCTTGGGGAGACCTTATTGCCGCCTTTCAGTACTTAAAGGGGGCTTATAAGAAAGATGCAGAGAGACATTTTAATAGGGTCTGTTGCAAGAGGACAAGGAGCAACAGTTTTAAACTGAAAGGGGGTAGATTTCGATTAGATGTAAGGAAGAAATTCTTTACTGTGAGGGCAGTGAGGCGCTGGCACAAGTTGCCCAGAGCAGCTGTGGCTGCCCCCTCCCTGGAAGGGTTCAAGGCCAGGTTGGACGGGGCTGGGAGCCCCCTGGGCTGGGGGAAGGGGGCCCTGCCCGGGGCAGGGGGGTTGGGACTGGGTGATCTCTGAGGTCCCTTCCAACCCAAACCACTCTATGATTGAATGACATTTTTGTTCTGGAGCAACTTTCTGCAGACGTAATTTTTTGATCCCGCATGTGATGAATATTAGGAGCAACAGTGTGGCTGTGAAGCTGACTGTGGAAGAGCCTCTTAAGAGACATCTCCTCAAGGCAAGCGGGAGGCCGTATGCTGTACAATGCAGCTCTGGGCAAGAGGATGTCTCTGCAAAGAGATGGGCCTTTGAGCTGAGGGGTGTTGGAAGAGGTGGCTTGGTATTTCTGGCAGCTACACACTGCTCCTTGCTTCTCTGGTTGCGATGGCCTTGTGCTGTGCAACAAGCTCTCCTTCATGCTCTTCACTCGTAATAACGTGGTTCTTTGCCTTTCTGAAAACTCAGAAAACTTACCGGCACAAACCCGATGCTCCTTCCCATCCCAGTTATTCGCAATCGGGAGAGGTATTCCCAAATTTTAAGAGAAAATATTTTTGTGTTTTCTTAGTTTTGCAGGCATCCATGAGTGAAGGACCAGAGTACCTCAATCTGTCCCTTCAACAATCCTTCCCCGCTCCATGTTTTCAATTGGAAACCGCACCAGTGAGCTCCTAAATCCAGGTATCATGTACACCAGTGAAGTGGAGGTCTGGAAGCAGAGACAGAAGCAAGGTCTAAGTATCAGAGCTGGGCTTCATTTTCCCAGTAAGCAGACCCAGACCTCAGCTTGAGTTCCCTCTTTATAACACATTGAGATATGGATAGGTACCTTAGGGAACATCTAATGTCAATGCTCACCCATACAGAAATACCACGGGGACTTTTGATTTAGGAGCCAAACTGGTTTGTTTGTTCAATGGGCACGTTTCCAGCAGAGGCCCATGACACCAGCTTTTAGCAGTACACTCCCAACACTTGACATTTATTAAAGCCACAGCTCAGTGAGTGAGGTAATTACCTGGGCATTTCCATTTTCATTTCTAGTAAGTCCAAATTAAAGTCCAAATAAAGTACATTTTTAGCCCTTCGGCAAAGATTACTCCTTTTTTTTTTTTTTGAACACTTTCCTTCAGGTAGTTAACCATTCATAATACCCATCAATAACCGCTTAGCTGAAGGTATTAGGGTTTAGGGTTACGTAGACAGTAGTAGTCAAAATGCTGTTTCATTCTTTTTGTCACATAATCTTTACTGTATGATAAGCACTACGTAGTAGGCACAAAGCAAAAAGGAGGCCCCCGGTATTTACTTCTCTCTGATAACCCGTGCTAATGAGTTTGCTGCCATTTTAGCTGAAATATGGATAAAAGAAATCCCATCTCGTGTCCTAACGAGCGCAAGCCCTGAGCGTAGACAAACCCTGGGAAGGGCCACATAAGGGTTGTGGCAAGATCAGTGGAAATCCTCTGCCCAAATTCAGGGTGCCAGGACCACATCTGTGTCTCCATGCTTGGCTGCAGCATTTTAGGAGCCATGGGAGAGTTGCCAGCACCCCTTTGCTCTCCCACTTTCACCCCAAAGGAGCTGGTCCAGGGGAATGGGTGCCACCAGGCAATGGGTGCTCATGCTGCGAGGGCGGGTAGAAGTCCTTGCTTGTCCCCAGCTCTTTCCTTAAAAGCAGCAGGGGAAAATCAATAAATAAGGAAGGACAGGAAAGGGGACCATTACAATTAGACCTGATTTTATTTTGCTCCGTAGCCACCGGGCGTCACTCTTGCCTATAGAGTCAGAAAGGAATTTTTGGTCGTCGCTGATAAAATCCCATTTCATCCATAAATTCTACAGCTCCCGGCACTGACAGCAGCATCCCCATTTATCAAAATTTCCCAAGTTTCAACATCAAATTACCAACTCGTTAAATCTGGGGGTATCTGGAGCTGGCAATTTAGCCTGCGGTGTTATTTGCTAAACATAGGCAAAACACATTAGGGTTTTTTTATTATTATTATTATTATTATTATTAGTGTAAATGCAGCTGGATAATTTAGATCTGGGTTTGGATTAGGATCTTGGCCAGTGTCTGTCGGTGTCTGGATTACCAGGACATGCTCTGAAGCTGTACAGCTTCTGGGGAAGAGGGAAGGTGAAGAAGAGACAAGGTGTGGATGGGCAGAAAAGCAAAAAAATGTGGCTTTTGCAGGCGGCGCCTCTGCAGAAGTGGAGCAAAACCAACATGATTCAGCAGATGAAGCTGTAAAATATTCCAACCTTTGAAGTCAAGGCAGTTCAGCCCTGACCATTCATGTATCTCAGAAGTACTAGGAGATAAACGCGGGAAACATTACACAGCTCGGTAAATATGCGTTCATCAGAGTACCCGTAATTGCCATTGTGTTGGGATTTTTGCTTTTATAGAACTACAAACTTGTCTTACAACTGCTAGAAACGCTCTCCCGCTAATTTTGTATTTTTCAAGTTCTTCAGAGATTCTCCATTTTCTCCAAAGACAGAAAATCTATTTTCCTTTCAAACAAAGGAAATCCAGTGTGGAGTCTTTACCTGAGGAAAGAACCTCTCAAAGAAAATGTAACACGGCTGGTAAAACCAGTTGCTCTGAAACACTCTGTATCAGCAAACTGAACAGCTGATAAGAATAATAGAAATTTTTAGTCAATGAGAAAATACTCATCAGGAACCTCATCCTACCAGCACAAAATTTGCTAATATTGCCTGGCCTTGCGTTGCTGCCAGAAGTATGAATTTGTACTGAAATCCCACTGTATGGGAGAAGCACCCCAGCCAAAGTGTAAGAAATTTCACTGCTATAAACAGGGCACATATGGGGTTTATGGAGACATCGGGGTCTGGCTATTGATTTGTGCTTTCCTCTGGGTAATACATGTCCTATAATGCCATGAGATTTATGACCAGGACTTTGAACTCTGGAATAACTTTTAAAAAGAGGGGCTGTCTATAAAAAGTGTGGTTCGGGTTTTAATCTGTTATAATCTAGTGCCGCAAGAAGACTTCGAGAGTTCATTTATTTGGCCGTGAATACTTTTCACACTGAGACTAGGAGGCCACACTCAAATACCTTCAAAAGTTCATGCCAGGATCAGTGAAATTCAGAGTCACGAATGACCCAGGGAACAATCAATCCTTTGATTATAGGAAGTTCCTATTAAAATAATGGAGCACAGAAAGTGCCTTGCTAAAATGAATGTGAGTCTCCCAAACCTGTACATTTGCGCAAAGTGTTGGCTGAGAAATTTCAGCAATTCCTTTTAAAAAAAAAAAAAAAAAAAAAAAAAAAAAAAACAAAAAGCAGACAACATTTTGATATCAAGCAGAGTTTTGACAACTGATTTGGATAAATTGAATTTCTCTTTTATCCAGATTTCTTGACCTGTTCTTAATACCAATTTCCCTTGGTGCTTGCTTTCTTGATTATAGTTGAAAGAAATTTATAACAAATCTATCTTCTGTTTTCGCTTCTACGTACCTATAAATTTCTACTACATTTATATATTTGTATCTCCAGACTGAAAAGCAAGATAAACCTGAAGGCAAACTTATCGTACCAGAATAAAACTCTTTACTCCTGGGACTGGCCAAAACAACAATCTATGAAAAATGCAAAACAGCAACAGGTCTTGTTTTTAAACTGTTTCGCAAAATATTTTTGTGCTGAGAACCTGATCACTGAAGATGCTAAAGTGCTGCTGGCTGCCCTGAATGCCTCCCAGTCTCTGACTGGGACTGTCCCAGTTGGTGCTCAGCTTCTTGCAGAAGTGGACCCCTTAAGAGTTTGCATACAACTAACTAAACACTAGTAAGATCCTCTGTTTTAGTTTTCCAACACCTGAATGATTTATGGGCAGAAAGTAGGTCTACTGCAAATTCATAATTGATGCGTCTCTTTTGATACGCAGTCTAACAAATGAAAAAAAATATTTAAAATACAATTGATTTGTTACTTGTTATGGACTGGAAGAAGACTTCCAAAAGACTGTCATGTTTTCTGGCTTGCCCTGAGATACAGTTCTATCTAGAAGATCCGAGATCCAAACCATTCATACCTTCACCTAAAAAAACAAAAGCCATCTTCTTCCCTTGGGTCCTGGTGATACACACACCCCAGCCATCCCAGTTATGTGGGACACATTAAACTGTTTTGACTTGGTTACTTCTAAACAAAACCAATGAAATTCAGTTGCTTATAAAAAATGAGACGGAGGCCCTCTTTTTCTCTCCTCCACATCACTGCTTTAATCCCTGCTATGACCAGGTGGGTGTAGCAATGACTGTAGCTCCTCAACCTGATGAAAATAGTGTTGCATTCAGAAATTCGATAAATGAATGGGAGGGACAAGTAATGCTTCCCCCCCCCCCCCCCCCCCCCCCCGATGTTTTGTTAATTAAATTAGCATTTAAATAGCCAGAGCTAATCTGGGAAGTCAGGCCCTCATTACAGTAACTAGGAAGGGGGAAAAGAGCTGCAGACAATGCCCTACAAGATGGGGTTAAGTTGGCGTTTCACAAACTATTTGCCCAGCCTGTCCCTCCCAAGTGAAAGCTGCCACCCCCCCACCCCACCCCCCTTTCCTCCCAGAATAATTAGCATGTTCCAGTGCTGTGAATGGAAACAATATCCTCCCTCCAAGCTGTGCCCCTCCAGGGAGATGCTTCCCACAGATTGTGAAACTCTGAGCCAGGGAAAGGGCTTGCCGAGGAATTCACAGTGGGGTAATTACACTGAGGTAGCTTGTGCCCGGTGCAAGATAAGTTGCATTACTGTAATTCATTGCAGGAGGCAGGGGCTCGCATAAAGGAAATGTCCAGAGGCAAGACTGCAGAGCCATGAGAAGTCATCGCCTTCCCAGAGCCCCGATAAAACCCGACGTTGAAGCTGAGGATGGTTCTTTGGCCTCCGAGGATGTCTCCGTCTTCAGAGAAGTTTGCAGAACGTAGCAACGATCACGTGCGAATCTGGTTTCTCTTTGGCAATTAGAATGGAAGAAAGGTTGAAAGGGTGAGTTTTCAGATTTTAAAATAAATTCTTCATCCCAAGTAGAAAACTGAAGCAAAGCTTGCAAGAATTGGATGCTTTCACTTGTTATTGTCCATGTATATGGCACTTAAAACATGCTGGCCCCTCTTTCTATCAAATGAAAAGCTGGTCTGCAATCCTTTCCCCACAAGATTTACTATTTAATTTTACATATAACAGAGAGACCAATGATAACTAATATCAGAGGAGAAGATGCAGGAGGAAGGGCTGGATTTGGGTGACACCTGCTATCCCAGCAGTATGCACATCTGGCAGGTTTCATCCCACTTATTTAAATCGTATTCCAGGTGACTCAACAGAAAAAACATCACCCTCCACTTGCGGCTCATCATGCCCAGCTGTAAAGCGGGGATTATATTTACCTCCATTGCAAAGTACTCGGTTTCAGAAGACGTTGGTGCGGTTTGCTGAGGCCCCGGCTGGAAATACCACAAGAAGTTCAAAGCCCGGTTTCATCCTGTAATTGGATCCTCAAGTCCACAAGTGCAAGAACCAACTGTGCGGGCTGACAGCAGGTCCTCCCCCTCTTCCAACAAGAACCCCACCACAACACGGGCTGTGGGGCTGAGCTGCAAGCGTGGCATACCCAGGAGCTGCTACTTTCCTGCTGCTATGCACAAAAAAATGTTGTTTAAAGCTTTTGCCACCCTGTTTGATCTGACCTGCTGTTATTTTTTCTTTCTTTTTTTTTTTTTTTTAACTCTAAGACATCTTCTTAACTCTCATGCTCACTTGGGATGCTCTTAAGAACATGGACTTTAATCCCAGTGTTACTTAAATACCAATTTAATATTTGTTTTCTCTCTGCCTTGACAAGATATTCCTCAGGTCAAGCAGGCATGAAATGATAGATATTGAGTGCAATTCTTCTGGGCAAGAAGAGCTACCTTCTAAGATCTTATCTCAAAACCACTTGGAAATGTGTTCTTTATTTATTTATGCCATAAAATCTCATTCGATGTTGAAGGCCCAAAGGATTACAATTCTGAATTTGGTTGGTTTGCTGTTTTGTTTTCTTTTTTTTTTTCCCCCCGTCCTTGCTGAAATCTGGCCTTTCAAAATAACACAGAGAGAATCTTTGTTTTGATCTAAAATAGCAGCTGCAAGGGCTTTTAAATGACCATTTAAATGAGATTTCTTTTTTTGCATCTTCGCATTATAGTTTCATTCTCGGTCTCTGAGATCAGTAGCTGCGGTTGAGCAGCCGAGCCGTCTAATGGGAATAAATTGTAATATTGTTCCAACTGTCTCCGATTATTACTGTTGAGCTCTATTAATGAACCGCCTTCATTAAGCAAACTGCAAAGTGTGTTGACGGCGGCGTATCAGAGGTTGCTCTGCGAAGCCAGACCCAGCCATCATCTAACCCCACGGTCTTTACGTTGGGTTACGGTTCGTGATCCTCGGCGTGACGTGATTTCTAACGGACAGAAACCCCACGGACCAGCAGAGCAATGCCGCCTTGCTTTGTGACTCCCAGAGAACATCTTGCGGCGAGGTGAGGTTTTGGGTCGCAGCGGCGATGCTGCGAAGTATGGCAGTATTCCCTCAAAAAGGGCCCGAGGCACAGGCAGCACAGACTGAGGTGGGACAGGGCTGGCCCACAGCCACTCTGGTGATGTGTGGCAGGACCTGGGGTGAGCCTGAGACCCCCCTTCTCTGTCAGCGCGACACAACCCACAAACGCCATTTGGGGCTCGCCCCCTCACGAAACTCGTCTATGCTAGCGGACCACATATCCCAGCATGCAATGCTGTCCCGCCAGGAGACGGGCGCGGAAAGGACTACAACTCCCAGCGGGCATCGCGCCTCGCTGCCCGCCTCCCCGGAGCGGCGGGGTGGGCGGCGCTGCACGCTGGGATCTGTAGTCCAGCCGGACGTCGGTCACACACGGTGCCTCCCTTCCTCCGCCCCCCCCTCCCCCCGGTTTGACACCCCCTCCCGCCCCGCTCCGCCCTCCTCCCCGCCCCGCCGGTTGTCCCTCCGTAAACGGAAGCCGAGGAGGGACGAAGGAGCCGGGGAGGAGGTTGGAGCAGCGCGATGGGGGACTCCAAAGTGAAGGTGGCGGTGCGCGTCCGCCCCACGAACCGGCGAGGTGAGACTTTCCTCCCTCAGTGACACTCCCCCGCTCCCCGGCGCTGGTGTGAGGGGAGCGGGCCCGAGGGGCAGAGCGGGGCGGGAGGCCGGGGGGTGCCGGTCCTCATGGGTGTCTGTAGGGGCAGGTGTGGGTGTCGAGGTGCGCGTGACCCGTCGCGGGGGCGTGTTTATAGGTGTATGTGTCGGGGGGGGGTGGGGGGGAAGTGTGTATAGGTATATTTATTTATTAATTAATCTTTATGAAGATCTTAGTTTTGTCATTTAGACGTAAGGTATTTTCACACTCTCTTGTATAGTCAGTTTTTCCCTTATTTGTGCTGGCTTCTATGTAGCAAAGGGCAAAGACAAAAATCACTGTAAGGCAACAAACTTTGGCAGAGGGCTATTCTGCAGAAAATCTGGTGACGAAAAGAAATAGTGAAAGAAGTATACTGAAAATCTGTGAAACTAATGCAGAAAGTGAGGATAGGCAGCAATATATTAAAAATAGTATTTCACATTCCCTGGTACTATGAGAAATGCAAAATGAAACAGTAGCTATTAGCTTGGCATGTCAAAAAAGGCCAGTTGTAAGGTGCTTACTTAAGAAATGTTGTAGGAGATAGAGTGTGCGGCAAATCGGTTTGCGATGTTACAGCAGGGAGTGAATTCAAAAGCGATTTCAGGCAAGAGGGAGCTGGAACATTTCTGGGGACCAGTAGCACTAACAGTGGCAGAAGCAATGGTGAAGAATTTACAGGATTTCAGCACAGAGCAGGAAAACTAAAACAGATTCCGATAAAATGCCAGGGCAGTTTACTGGGAAGGATGTTTCTACTTTAGAGAGCTCATTTTTGCCAGTTTGTAAATTCATAGCGGCCGAGAGTCATGAATGCCTCACAACTGGTGACTGCAGAGCTAGAAAATGGAATGACAACAGCTCAGCAGCCGCTTTAGAGACAGCCAGCGTGGCTTCGCCGAGGGCAAATCGTGCCCGACTAATCCAGCGGCCTTCCATGATGGAGTGACGGCATTAGAGGACGAGGGAAGAGCTACGGATGTCACCTGCCTGGAGGACGTCAGTGAGGCACGGACAGGTTCTGGATAAATGGCTTTTAATGGAAAAACTGAGAACAAAACACGCACTACCAAAGCTACTACATCGTCAACACACCCTCCCCCCTCCCCAAACCCACCCGTTCCCCGCAACAGGCCCAGTCCCACCCCCCGCCCCAGCACTGGCTGCAGGGGCCTTGCGCTTGCCGCCATTTTCTGGCCGGGAGCCATTTTGCCGCTTCTCCGCTCGCTTCTCCGCTCGCTTCTCCGCTCGCTTCTCCGCTCGCTTCTCCCCTCGCTTCTCCGCTCCGCTTCTCCCCTCGCTTCTCCGCTCGCTTCTCCCCTCGCTTCTTCTCCGCTCGCTTCTCCCCTCGCTTCTCCGCTCGCTTCTCCCTCGCTTCTCCCGCTTCTTCTCCCCTCGCTTCTCCGCTCGCTTCTCCCCTCGCTTCTCCGCTCGCTTCTCCCCTCGCTTCTCCGCGCGCTTCTCCGCTCGCTCTCCCCTCACTCTCCCCTCGCTTCTCCCGGCTGGTGTCGTGCGGGACACACTGCCCTGGAGGGGTGGCAGGTCTGTCCCACGTCCTGCCGTGGATCCTCAGCCCTCATCCTGATGGGAGTTAAGTGCTCCCTGCTCAGGGTGGCTTTGGAGGCCTTGGGGACACGAGTCATTGGGGAGCATCTCTCGGGCAGCCACAGCGAGCTGATCCTGCGCTGGGGGATGGAGCCACTAGTGCACCCGGTTGTCCAGGGCACGGGGACGCTGCTGGAATCGTCCCGGCTGATCCCCCCCTTGCCCCCAGGGAGCAATCCAAGTGCCTCATAGCCTCTTCCAGCAGCACCACCTCAGGCAGCACAACGTCACCGGCTGGAAATCACCCGGGGTCCCTGATGGCTTGGACGTGGAGGGCAGCAGAGTGGCTGGGGGAGATGTTACCACCCAGGGGGGTGCCCTCATCCATGGGGACATCACTCGCCAGGGAGATGTCACATCCTGGGAGGATGTCCTCATCCATGGGGACATCACTCGCCAGGGAGATGTCACATCCTGGGAGGATGTCCTCATCCATGGGGACATCACTCGCCAGGGAGATGTCAACACCTGGGAGGATGTCCTCATCCATGGGGACATCACTCGCCAGGGAGATGTCACATCCTGGGAGGATGTCCTCACATGGGGACATCACTCGCCAGGGAGATGTCAAACACCTGGGAGGATGTCCTCATCCATGGGGACATCACTCGCCAGGGAGATGTCAACACCTGGGAGGATGTCCTTAACCATGGGGATATTGTTGCCTGGGTGGCTGCCACTGCCTGGGGGTGCCGCCAGCGGTTGGCTCTGCTGGACAGGCCATGGTGCGTGTACTGTCCCTCGACGTGGTGGCGGCGGAGGGACGGTGGCAGCACTGGACGGGCTGAGGCCGCTGCTCTGCCCTGACAGTTGTGGGGCAGGACAGCTCAGCTTGGCTCTGGGGGGCCCATTGCTCTGCCCAGGCCGGGGGGAGCCGCAGCCCGGGGGTCCCCACAGGGCAGCGCCTGGCCGGGAAGCAACGCTGTGGCGGTGACAAAGGTGGCAGCTGGAGGCAGGTTGGTGCTCGTCCACTCCGAGTGAGGATGGGGGTTGAAGCAGCTGCTGTTGGAGCCATCTGCAGACCTGCAGAGGTGAGAGGGAGATGTGCAGGGGTGAGGACCTGGAGGAATCTCCTGGGGCACCCCCTGAGCCAGCCCTGAGCACAGACATCCCCCTGCTCTGTGCGGGTGAGTGGGGAGCTTGTGCAGGGACGATTGTCCATGTGGTGGTGAAATGGAGAGATGGCTCCAAGAGATTGGGGAATTATCTATAAATTATATTTACTGGGCAGGTTGATCCTGACAGAGAGACATGAGCACTCATGGTGATCACATCCCAAGCCGGGACAGGAGGGCGCATGAGGGGACTGAGAAGGAGAAGGGAGAGGCGCAACGGAGAAAGGGCTCTGAATTTCCCCAGAGCGAGTCCCGGGGCTGTCGGGGTCAGGGTTAGTCCTCACCTCTGGTGTAGAAGGTTTTGGGGAAGAGGAATGGCTGCAGTAGCTGGGCCATCGGAGGAGCCCCAGGGCGCACAGTGTGTGCTGCAGAGCTGGCAGTGCCATGGTCACTTCTGTCCTGTGGATTCTGTTGAGTGTGCCTGGCAAGGAATGTTGGGGCTCCCCGTGTTCTGTCCCGCCCCCAGTAGCTTTGACTGCTCTTCATGCAGAGGGAAAGGGTTAACAAAAGAGTTGAGTTAAGAGTTATGGTCAATGGCTCAATGTCAGGGGGAAACCAGTAAGAGAGTGGTGTCCCTAAAGGGTTTGTACTGGGACCAGTACTATTTCAGTCTTCACCAATGACATAGACAGTGGGATTGAGTGCACCCTCATCAAATTAGTGAATGACACCAAACTGAGTGGTGCAGTTGCCTCACCTGAGGGAAGGCATGCCTTCCAGAGGGACCTGGACAAGCTTAAGAAGTGGGCCCATGTGAACCTCTTGGAGATCAACAAGGCCAAATGCAAGGTCCTGCACATGGGTCAGGGCAATCCCAGTAACAATACAGGCTGGGGGATGAGTGGATTGAGAGCAGCCCACAGAGAAGGACTTGGAGTACTGGTGGATGAAAAGCTGGACATGACCCGGCAATGTCTGCTCGCAGCCCAGAAAGCCACCCGTGTTCTGGGCTGCAGCCAGAGCAGGGGGGGCAGCAGGGCCAGGGAGGGGATTCTCCCCCTCTGCTGCGCTCTGGGGAGACCCCCTGCAGTGCTGGGGCCAGCTGGGGCCCCTGACATCAGAAGGACACTGACCTGCTTGAGCAGGGCCAGAGGAGGCCACAGAAAATAATCAGAGGGATTAAACACCTTTCCCATGATGAAAGGTTTGGGGTGGTTCAGCCTGGAGAAGGGAAAGCTCTTGGGGAGACCTTATTGCGCCTTTCAGTACTTAAAGGGGGCTTATAAGAAAGATGCAGAGAGACATTTTAATAGGGTCTGTTGCAAGAGGACAAGGAGCAACAGTTTTAAACTGAAAGGGGGTAGATTTCGATTAGATGTAAGGAAGAAATTCTTTACTGTGAGGGCAGTGAGGCGCTGGCACAAGTTGCCCAGAGCAGCTGTGGCTGCCCCCTCCCTGGAAGGGTTCAAGGCCAGGTTGGACGGGGCTGGGAGCCCCCTGGGCTGGGGGAAGGGGGCCCTGCCCGGGGCAGGGGGGTTGGGACTGGGTGATCTCTGAGGTCCCTTCCAACCCAAACCACTCTATGATTGAATGACATTTTTGTTCTGGAGCAACTTTCTGCAGACGTAATTTTTGATCCCGCATGTGATGAATATTAGGAGCAACAGTGTGGCTGTGAAGCTGACTGTGGAAGAGCCTCTTAAGAGACATCTCCTCAAGGCAAGCGGGAGGCCGTATGCTGTACAATGCAGCTCTGGGCAAGAGGTCTCTGCAAAGAGATGGGCCTTTGAGCTGAGGGGTGTTGGAAGAGGTGGCTTGGTATTTCTGGCAGCTACACACTGCTCCTTGCTTCTCTGGTTGCGATGGCCTTGTGCTGTGCAACAAGCTCTCCTTCATGCTCTTCACTCGTAATAACGTGGTTCTTTGCCTTTCTGAAAACTCAGAAAACTTACCGGCACAAACCCGATGCTCCTTCCCATCCCAGTTATTCGCAATCGGGAGAGGTATTCCCAAATTTTAAGAGAAAATATTTTGTGTTTTCTTAGTTTTGCAGGCATCCATGAGTGAAGGACCAGAGTACCTCAATCTGTCCCTTCAACAATCCTTCCCCGCTCCATGTTTTCAATTGGAAACCGCACCAGTGAGCTCCTAAATCCAGGTATCATGTACACCAGTGAAGTGGAGGTCTGGAAGCAGAGACAGAAGCAAGGTCTAAGTATCAGAGCTGGGCTTCATTTTCCCAGTAAGCAGACCCAGACCTCAGCTTGAGTTCCCTCTTTATAACACATTGAGATATGGATAGGTACCTTAGGGAACATCTAATGTCAATGCTCACCCATACAGAAATACCACGGGGACTTTTGATTTAGGAGCCAAACTGGTTTGTTGTTCAATGGGCACGTTTCCAGCAGAGGCCCATGACACCAGCTTTTAGCAGTACACTCCAACACTTGACATTTATTAAAGCCACAGCTCAGTGAGTGAGGTAATTACCTGGGCATTTCCATTTTCATTTCTAGTAAGTCCAAATTAAAGTCCAAATAAAGTACATTTTTAGCCCTTCGGCAAAGATTACTCCTTTTTTTTTTTTTTTGAACACTTTCCTTCAGGTAGTTAACCATTCATAATACCCATCAATAACCGCTTAGCTGAAGGTATTAGGGTTTAGGGTTACGTAGACAGTAGTAGTCAAAATGCTGTTTCATTCTTTTTGTCACATAATCTTTACTGTATGATAAGCACTACGTAGTAGGCACAAAGCAAAAAGGAGGCCCCGGTATTTACTTTCTCTGATAACCCGTGCTAATGAGTTTGCTGCCATTTTAGCTGAAATATGGATAAAAGAAATCCCATCTCGTGTCCTAACGAGCGCAAGCCCTGAGCGTAGACAAACCCTGGGAAGGGCCACATAAGGGTTGTGGCAAGATCAGTGGAAATCCTCTGCCCAAATTCAGGGTGCCAGGACCACATCTGTGTCTCCATGCTTGGCTGCAGCATTTTAGGAGCCATGGGAGAGTTGCCAGCACCCTTTGCTCTCCCACTTTCACCCCAAAGGAGCTGGTCCAGGGGAATGGGTGCCACCAGGCAATGGGTGCTCATGCTGCGAGGGCGGGTAGAAGTCCTTGCTTGTCCCCAGCTCTTTCCTTAAAAGCAGCAGGGGAAAATCAATAAATAAGGAAGGACAGGAAAGGGGACCATTACAATTAGACCTGATTTTATTTTGCTCCGTAGCCACCGGGCGTCACTCTTGCCTATAGAGTCAGAAAGGAATTTTGGTCGTCGCTGATAAAATCCCATTTCATCCATAAATTCTACAGCTCCCGGCACTGACAGCAGCATCCCCATTTATCAAAATTTCCCAAGTTTCAACATCAAATTACCAACTCGTTAAATCTGGGGGTATCTGGAGCTGGCAATTTAGCCTGCGGTGTTATTTGCTAAACATAGGCAAAACACATTAGGGTTTTTTTTTTATTATTATTATTATTATTAGTGTAAATGCAGCTGGATAATTTAGATCTGGGTTTGGATTAGGATCTTGGCCAGTGTCTGTCGGTGTCTGGATTACCAGGACATGCTCTGAAGCTGTACAGCTTCTGGGGAAGAGGGAAGGTGAAGAAGAGACAAGGTGTGGATGGGCAGAAAAGCAAAAAAATGTGGCTTTTGCAGGCGGCGCCTCTGCAGAAGTGGAGCAAAACCAACATGATTCAGCAGATGAAGCTGTAAAATATTCCAACCTTTGAAGTCAAGGCAGTTCAGCCCTGACCATTCATGTATCTCAGAAGTACTAGGAGATAAACGCGGGAAACATTACACAGCTCGGTAAATATGCGTTCATCAGAGTACCCGTAATTGCCATTGTGTTGGGATTTTTGCTTTTATAGAACTACAAACTTGTCTTACAACTGCTAGAAACGCTCTCCCGCTAATTTTGTATTTTCAAGTTCTTCAGAGATTCTCCATTTTCTCCAAAGACAGAAAATCTATTTTCCTTTCAAACAAAGGAAATCCAGTGTGGAGTCTTTACCTGAGGAAAGAACCTCTCAAAGAAAATGTAACACGGCTGGTAAAACCAGTTGCTCTGAAACACTCTGTATCAGCAAACTGAACAGCTGATAAGAATAATAGAAATTTTTAGTCAATGAAAATACTCATCAGGAACCTCATCCTACCAGCACAAAATTTGCTAATATTGCCTGGCCTTGCGTTGCTGCCAGAAGTATGAATTTGTACTGAAATCCCACTGTATGGGAGAAGCACCCCAGCCAAAGTGTAAGAAATTTCACTGCTATAAACAGGGCACATATGGGGTTTATGGAGACATCGGGGTCTGGCTATTGATTTGTGCTTTCCTCTGGGTAATACATGTCCTATAATGCCATGAGATTTATGACCAGGACTTTGAACTCTGGAATAACTTTTAAAAAGAGGGGGCTGTCTATAAAAAGTGTGGTTCGGGTTTTAATCTGTTATAATCTAGTGCCGCAAGAAGACTTCGAGAGTTCATTTATTTGGCCGTGAATACTTTTCACACTGAGACTAGGAGGCCACACTCAAATACCTTCAAAAGTTCATGCCAGGATCAGTGAAATTCAGAGTCACGAATGACCAGGGAACAATCAACTTTGATTATAGGAAGTTCCTATTAAAATAATGGAGCACAGAAAGTGCCTTGCTAAAATGAATGTGAGTCTCCCAAACCTGTACATTTGCGCAAAGTGTTGGCTGAGAAATTTCAGCAATTCCTTTTAAAAAAAAAAAAAAAACAAAAAAAAACAAAAAAACAAAAAGCAGACAACATTTTGATATCAAGCAGAGTTTTGACAACTGATTTGGATAAATTGAATTTCTCTTTATCCAGATTTCTTGACCTGTTCTTAATACCAATTTCCCTTGGTGCTTGCTTCTTGATTATAGTTGAAAGAAATTTATAACAAAATCTATCTTCGTTTTCGCTTCTACGTACCTATAAATTTCTACTACATTTATATATTTGTATCTCCAGACTGAAAAGCAAGATAAACCTGAAGGCAAACTTATCGTACCAGAATAAAACTTTACTCCTGGGACTGGCCAAAACAACAATCTATGAAAAATGCAAAACAGCAACAGGTCTTGTTTTAAACTGTTTCGCAAAATATTTTTGTGCTGAGAACCTGATCACTGAAGATGCTAAAGTGCTGCTGGCTGCCCTGAATGCCTCCCAGTCTCTGACTGGGACTGTCCCAGTTGGTGCTCAGCTTCTTGCAGAAGTGGACCCCTTAAGAGTTTGCATACAACTAACTAAACACTAGTAAGATCCTCGTTTTAGTTTTCCAACACCTGAATGATTATGGGCAGAAAGTAGGTCTACTGCAAATTCATAATTGATGCGTCTCTTTGATACGCAGTCTAACAAATGAAAAAAAATATTAAAATACAATTGATTTGTTACTTGTTATGGACTGGAAGAAGACTTCCAAAAGACTGTCATGTTTTCTGGCTTGCCCTGAGATACAGTTCTATCTAGAAGATCCGAGATCCAAACCATTCATACCTTCACCTAAAAAAAAACAAAAGCCATCTTCTTCCCTTGGGTCCTGGTGATACACACACCCCAGCCATCCCAGTTATGTGGGACACATTAAACTGTTTTGACTTGGTTACTTCTAAACAAAACCAATGAAATTCAGTTGCTTATAAAAAAATGAGACGGAGGCCCTCTTTTTCTCTCCTCCACATCACTGCTTTAATCCCTGCTATGACCAGGTGGGTGTAGCAATGACTGTAGCTCCTCAACCTGATGAAAATAGTGTTGCATTCAGAAATTCGATAAATGAATGGGAGGGACAAGTAATGCTTCCCCCCCCCCCCCCCCCCCCCCCCCCCCCCCCCCCCCCCCCCCCCCCCCCCCCCCCCCCCCCCCCCGATGTTTTGTTAATTAAATTAGCATTTAAATAGCCAGAGCTAATCTGGGAAGTCAGGCCCTCATTACAGTAACTAGGAAGGGGGAAAAGAGCTGCAGACAATTCCCTACAAGATGGGGTTAAGTTGGCGTTTCACAAACTATTTGCCCAGCCTGTCCCTCCCAAGTGAAAGCTGCCACCCACCCCACCCCCCCCCCTTTCCTCCAGAATAATTAGCATGTTCCAGTGCTGTGAATGGAAACAATATCCTCCCTCCAAGCTGTGCCCCTCCAGGGAGATGCTTCCCACAGATTGTGAAACTCTGAGCCAGGGAAAGGGCTTGCCGAGGAATTCACAGTGGGGTAATTACACTGAGGTAGCTTGTGCCCGGTGCAAGATAAGTTGCATTACTGTAATTCATTGCAGGAGGCAGGGGCTCGCATAAAGGAAATGTCCAGAGGCAAGACTGCAGAGCCATGAGAAGTCATCGCCTTCCCAGAGCCCCGATAAAACCCGACGTTGAAGCTGAGGATGGTTCTTTGGCCTCCGAGGATGTCTCCGTCTTCAGAGAAGTTTGCAGAACGTAGCAACGATCACGTGCGAATCTGGTTTCTCTTTGGCAATTAGAATGGAAGAAAGGTTGAAAGGGTGAGTTTTCAGATTTTAAAATAAATTCTTCATCCCAAGTAGAAAACTGAAGCAAAGCTTGCAAGAATTGGATGCTTCACTTGTTATTGTCCATGTATATGGCACTTAAAACATGCTGGCCCCTCTTTCTATCAAATGAAAAGCTGGTCTGCAATCCTTTCCCCACAAGATTTACTATTTAATTTTACATATAACAGAGAGACCAATGATAACTAATATCAGAGGAGAAGATGCAGGAGGAAGGGCTGGATTTGGGTGACACCTGCTATCCCCAGCAGTATGCACATCTGGCAGGTTTCATCCCACTTATTTAAATCGTATTCCAGGTGACTCAACAGAAAAAACATCACCCTCCACTTGCGGCTCATCATGCCCAGCTGTAAAGCGGGGATTATATTTACCTCCATTGCAAAGTACTCGGTTTCAGAAGACGTTGGTGCGGTTTGCTGAGGCCCCGGCTGGAAAATACCACAAGAAGTTCAAAGCCCGGTTTCATCCTGTAATTGGATCCTCAAGTCCACAAGTGCAAGAACCAACTGTGCGGGCTGACAGCAGGTCCTCCCTCTTCCAACAAGAACCCCACCACAACACGGGGCTGTGGGGCTGAGCTGCAAGCGTGGCATACCCAGGAGCTGCTACTTTCTGCTGCTATGCACAAAAAAATGTTGTTTAAAGCTTTTGCCACCCTGTTTGATCTGACCTGCTGTTATTTTTTCTTTCTTTTTTTTTTTTTTAACTCTAAGACATCTTCTTAACTCTCATGCTCACTTGGGATGCTCTTAAGAACATGGACTTTAATCCCAGTGTTACTTAAATACCAATTTAATATTTGTTTTCTCTCTGCCTTGACAAGATATTCCTCAGGTCAAGCAGGCATGAAATGATAGATATTGAGTGCAATTCTTCTGGGCAAGAAGAGCTACCTTCTAAGATCTTATCTCAAAACCACTTGGAAATGTGTTCTTTATTTATTTATGCCATAAAATCTCATTCGATGTTGAAGGCCCAAAGGATTACAATTCTGAATTGGTTGGTTTGCTGTTTTGTTTTCTTTTTTTTTTTCCCCCGTCCTTGCTGAAATCTGGCCTTTCAAAATAACACAGAGAGAATCTTTGTTTTGATCTAAAATAGCAGCTGCAAGGGCTTTTAAATGACCATTTAAATGAGATTTCTTTTTTTGCATCTTCGCATTATAGTTTCATTCTCGGTCTCTGAGATCAGTAGCTGCGGTTGAGCAGCCGAGCCGTCTAATGGGAATAAATTGTAATATTGTTCCAACTGTCTCCGATTATTACTGTTGAGCTCTATTAATGAACCGCCTTCATTAAGCAAACTGCAAAGTGTGTTGACGGCGGCGTATCAGAGGTTGCTCTGCGAAGCCAGACCCAGCCATCATCTAACCCCACGGTTTACGTTGGGTTACGGTTCGTGATCCTCGGCGTGACGTGATTTCTAACGGACAGAAACCCCACGGACCAGCAGAGCAATGCCGCCTTGCTTTGTGACTCCCAGAGAACATCTTGCGGCGAGGTGAGGTTTTGGGTCGCAGCGGCGATGCTGCGAAGTATGGCAGTATTCCCTCAAAAAGGGCCCGAGGCACAGGCAGCACAGACTGAGGTGGGACAGGGCTGGCCCACAGCCACTCTGGTGATGTGTGGCAGGACCTGGGGTGAGCCTGAGACCCCCTTCTCTGTCAGCGCGACACAACCCACAAACGCCATTGGGGCTCGCCCCTCACGAAACTCGTCTATGCTAGCGGACCACATATCCCAGCATGCAATGCTGTCCCGCCAGGAGACGGGCGCGGAAAGGACTACAACTCCCAGCGGGCATCGCGCCTCGCTGCCCGCCTCCCCGGAGCGGCGGGGTGGGCGGCGCTGCACGCTGGGATCTGTAGTCCAGCCGGACGTCGGTCACACACGGTGCCTCCCTTCCTCCGCCCCCCCCTCCCCCGGTTTGACACCCCCCCCTCCGCTCGCCCTCCTCCCGCCCGCCGGTTGTCCCTCCGTAAACGGAAGCCGAGGGGGACGAAGGAGCCGGGGAGGAGGTTGGAGCAGCGCGATGGGGGACTCCAAAGTGAAGGTGGCGGTGCGCGTCCGCCCCACGAACCGGCGAGGTGAGACTTTCCTCCCTCAGTGACACTCCCCGCTCCCCGGCGCTGGTGTGAGGGGAGCGGGCCCGAGGGGCAGAGCGGGGCGGGAGGCCGGGGGGTGCCGGTCCTCATGGGTGTCTGTAGGGGCAGGTGTGGGTGTCGAGGTGCGCGTGACCCGTCGCGGGGGCGTGTTTATAGGTGTATGTGTCGGGGGGGGGTGGGGGGGAAGTGTGTATAGGTATATTTATTTATTAATTAATCTTTATGAAGATCTTAGTTTTGTCATTTAGACGTAAGGTATTTTCACACTCTCTTGTATAGTCAGTTTTTCCCTTATTTGTGCTGGCTTCTATGTAGCAAAGGGCAAAGACAAAAATCACTGTAAGGCAACAAACTTTGGCAGAGGGCTATTCTGCAGAAAATCTGGTGACGAAAAGAAATAGTGAAAGAAGTATACTGAAAATCTGTGAAACTAATGCAGAAAGTGAGGATAGGCAGCAATATATTAAAAATAGTATTTCACATTCCCTGGTACTATGAGAAATGCAAAATGAAACAGTAGCTATTAGCTTGGCATGTCAAAAAAGGCCAGTTGTAAGGTGCTTACTTAAGAAATGTTGTAGGAGATAGAGTGTGCGGCAAATCGGTTTGCGATGTTACAGCAGGGAGTGAATTCAAAAGCGATTTCAGGCAAGAGGGAGCTGGAACATTTCTGGGGACCAGTAGCACTAACAGTGGCAGAAGCAATGGTGAAGAATTTACAGGATTTCAGCACAGAGCAGGAAAACTAAAACAGATTCCGATAAAATGCCAGGGCAGTTTACTGGGAAGGATGTTTCTACTTTAGAGAGCTCATTTTGCCAGTTTGTAAATTCATAGCGGCCGAGAGTCATGAATGCCTCACAACTGGTGACTGCAGAGCTAGAAAATGGAATGACAACAGCTCAGCAGCCGCTTTAGAGACAGCCAGCGTGGCTTCGCCGAGGGCAAATCGTGCCCGACTAATCCAGCGGCCTTCCATGATGGAGTGACGGCATTAGAGGACGAGGGAAGAGCTACGGATGTCACCTGCCTGGAGGACGTCAGTGAGGCACGGACAGGTTCTGGATAAATGGCTTTTAATGGAAAAACTGAGAACAAAACACGCACTACCAAAGCTACTACATCGTCAACACACCCTCCCCCTCCCCAAACCCACCCGTTCCCCGCAACAGGCCCAGTCCCACCCCCCGCCCCAGCACTGGCTGCAGGGGCCTTGCGTTGCCGCCATTTTCTGGCCGGGAGCCATTTTGCCGCTTCTCCGCTCGCTTCTCCGCTCGCTTCTCCCCTCGCTTCTCGCTCGCTTCTCCCTCGCTTCTCCGCGCCTCGCTTCTCCCTCGCTTCTCGCTCGCTTCTCCTCGCTCGCTTCTCCCCCGCTTCCGCGCTTCTCTGCTTCTCCGCTCGCTTCTCCCCTGCTCTCCGCTCGCTTCTCCGCTCGCTTCTCCCTCACTTCTCCCCTCGCTTCTCCGGCTGGTGTCGTGCCGGGACACACTGCCCTGAGGGGGTGGCAGGTCTGTCCCCACGTCCTGCCGTGGATCCTCAGCCCTCATCCTGATGGGAGTTAAGTGCTCCCTGCTCAGGGTGGCTTTGGAGGCCTTGGGGACACGAGTCATTGGGGAGCATCTTCTCGGGCAGCCACAGCGAGCTGATCCTGCGCTGGGGGATGGAGCCACTAGTGCCACCGGTGTCCACGGGCACGGGACGCTGCTGGAATCGTCCCGGCTGATCCCCCCCTTGCCCCCAGGGAGCAATCCAAGTGCCTCATAGCCTCTTCCAGCAGCACCACCTCAGGCAGCACAACGTCACCGGCTGGAATCACCCCGGGGTCCCTGATGGGGACGTGGAGGGCAGCAGAGTGGCTGGGGGAGATGTTACCACCCAGGGGGTGCCCTCATCCATGGGGACATCACTCGCCGGGAGATGTCACATCCTGGGAGGATGTCCTCATCCATGGGGACATCACTCGCCAGGGAGATGTCACATCCTGGGAGGATGTCCTCATCCATGGGGACATCACTCGCCAGGGAGATGTCAACACCTGGGAGGATGTCCTCATCCATGGGGACATCACTCGCCAGGGAGATGTCAACACCTGGGAGGATGTCCTCATCCATGGGGACATCACTCGCCAGGGAGATGTCAACACCTGGGAGGATGTCCTCATCCATGGGGACATCACTCGCCAGGGAGATGTCAACACCTGGGAGGATGTCCTTAACCATGGGGATATTGTTGCCTGGGTGGCTGCCACTGCCTGGGGGTGCCGCCAGCGGTTGGCTCTGCTGGACAGGCCATGGTGCGTGTACTGTCCCTCGACGTGGTTGGCTGGCTGCGGAGGGACGGTGGCAGCACTGGACGGGCTGAGGCCGCTGTCTGCCCTGACAGTTGTGGGGCAGGACAGCTCAGCTTGGCTCTGGGGGGGCCCATTGCTCTGCCCAGGCCGGGGGGAGCCGCAGCCCGGGGGTCCCACAGGGCAGCGCCTGGCCGGGAAGCAACGCTGTGGCCGGTGACAAAGGTGGCAGCTGGAGGAGGTTGGTGCTCGTTCCACTCCGAGTGGGGAGACATGGGGGTTGAAGCAGCTGCTGCTTGGAGCCATCTGCAGACCTGCAGAGGTGAGAGGGAGATGTGCAGGGGTGAGGGACCTGGAGGAATCTCCTGGGGCACCCCCTGAGCCAGCCCTGAGCACAGAACATCCCCTGCTCTGTCGCCGGGTGAGTGGGGAGCTTGTGCAGGGACGATTGTCCATGTGGTGGTGAAATGGGAGAGATGGCTCCAAGAGATTGGGGATTATCTATAAATTATATTTACTGGGCAGGTTGATCCTGACAGAGAGACATGAGCACTCACTGGTGATCACAATCCCAAGCCGGGACGGAGGGCGCATGAGGGGACTGAGAAGGAGAAGGGAGAGGCGCAACGGAGAAAGGGCTCTGAATTTCCCCAGAGCGAGTCCCGGGGCTGTCGGGGTCAGGGTTAGTCCTCACCTCTGGTGTAGAAGGTTTTGGGGAAGAGGAATGGGCTGCAGTAGCTGGGCCATCGGAGGAGCCCCAGGAGCACAGTGTGGCTGCAGAGCTGGCAGTGCCATGGTCACTTCTGTCCTGTGGATTCTGTTTGAGTGTTGCCTGGCAAGGAATGTTGGGGCTCCCCGTGTTCTGTCCCGCCCCCAGTAGCTTTGACTGCTCTTCATGCAGAGGGAAAGGGTTAACAAAAGAGTTGAGTTAAGAGTTATGGTCAATGGCTCAATGTTCGGGGGAAACCAGTAAGGAGTGGTGTCCCTAAAGGGTTTGTACTGGGACCAGTACTATTTCATGTCTTCACCAATGACATAGACAGTGGGATTGAGTGCACCCTCATCAAATTAGTGAATGACACCAAACTGAGTGGTGCAGTTGCCTCACCTGAGGGAAGGCATGCCTTCCAGAGGGACCTGGACAAGCTTAAGAAGTGGGCCCATGTTGAACCTCTTGGAGATCAACAAGGCCAAATGCAAGGTCCTGCACATGGGTCAGGGCAATCCCCAGTAACAATACAGGCTGGGGGATGAGTGGATTGAGAGCAGCCCCACAGAGAAGGACTTGGGAGTACTGGTGGATGAAAAGCTGGACATGACCCGGCAATGTCTGCTCGCAGCCCAGAAAGCCACCCGTGTTCTGGCTGCAGCCAGAGCAGGGGGGGCAGCAGGGCCAGGGAGGGGATTCTCCCCTCTGCTGCGCTCGCGGGAGACCCCCCTGCAGTGCTGGGGCCAGCCTGGGGCCCCTGACATCAGAAGGACACTGACCTGCTTGAGCAGGGCCAGAGGAGGCCACAGAAATAATCAGAGGGATTAAACACCTTTCCCATGATGAAAGGTTTGGGGTGGTTCAGCCTGGAGAAGGGAAAGCTCTTGGGGAGACCTTATTGCCGCCTTTCAGTACTTAAAGGGGGCTTATAAGAAAGATGCAGAGAGACATTTTAATAGGGTCTGTTGCAAGAGGACAAGGAGCAACAGTTTTAAACTGAAAGGGGGTAGATTTCGATTAGATGTAAGGAAGAAATTCTTTACTGTGAGGGCAGTGAGGCGCTGGCACAAGTTGCCAGAGCAGCTGTGGCTGCCCCCTCCCTGGAAGGGTTCAAGGCCAGGTTGGACGGGGCTGGGAGCCCCCTGGGCTGGGGGAAGGGGGCCCTGCCCGGGGCAGGGGGGTTGGGACTGGGTGATCTGAGGTCCCTTCCAACCCAAACCACTCTATGATTGAATGACATTTTTGTTCTGGAGCAACTTCTGCAGACGTAATTTTTTGATCCCGCATGTGATGAATATTAGGAGCAACAGTGTGGCTGTGAAGCTGACGTGGAAGAGCCTCTTAAGAGACATCTCCTCAAGGCAAGCGGGAGGCCGTATGCTGTACAATGCAGCTCTGGGCAAGAGGATGTCTCTGCAAAGAGATGGGCCTTTGAGCTGAGGGGTGTTGGAAGAGGTGGCTTGGTTTTCTGGCAGCTACACACTGCTCCTTGCTTCTCTGGTTGCGATGGCCTTGTGCTGTGCAACAAGCTCTCCTTCATGCTCTTCACTCGTAATAACGTGGTTCTTTGCCTTTCTGAAAACTCAGAAAACTTACCGGCACAAACCCGATGCTCCTTCCCATCCCAGTTATTCGCAATCGGGAGAGGTTTCCCAAATTTTAAGAGAAAATATTTTTGTGTTTTCTTAGTTTTGCAGGCATCCATGAGTGAAGGACCAGAGTACCTCAATCTGTCCCTTCAACAATCCTTCCCCGCTCCATGTTTTCAATTGGAAACCGCACCAGTGAGCTCCTAAATCCAGGTATCCATGTACACCAGTGAAGTGGAGGTCTGGAAGCAGAGACAGAAGCAAGGTCTAAGTATCAGAGCTGGGCTTCATTTTCCAGTAAGCAGACCAGACCTCAGCTTGAGTTCCCTCTTTATAACACATTGAGATATGGATAGGTACCTTAGGGAACATCTAATGTCAATGCTCACCCATACAGAAAATACCACGGGGACTTTTGATTTAGGAGCCAAACTGGTTTGTTTGTTCAATGGGCACGTTTCCAGCAGAGGCCCATGACACCAGCTTTTAGCAGTACACTCCCAACACTTGACATTTATTAAAGCCACAGCTCAGTGAGTGAGGTAATTACCTGGGCATTTCCATTTTCATTCTAGTAAGTCCAAATTAAAGTCCAAATAAAGTACATTTTTAGCCCTTCGGCAAAGATTACTCCTTTTTTTTTTTTTTGAACACTTTCCTTCAGTAGTTAACCATTCATAATACCCATCAATAAACCGCTTAGCTGAAGGTATTAGGGTTTAGGGTTACGTAGACAGTAGTAGTCAAATGCTGTTTCATTCTTTTTGTCCATAATGTCTTTTACTGTATGATAAGCACTACGTAGTAGGCACAAAGCAAAAGGAGGCCCCCGGTATTTACTTCTCTCTGATAACCCGTGCTAATGAGTTTGCTGCCATTTTAGCTGAAATATGGATAAAAGAAATCCCATCTCGTGTCCTAACGAGCGCAAGCCCTGAGCGTAGACAAACCCTGGGAAGGGCCACATAAGGGTTGTGGCAAGATCAGTGGGAAATCCTTCTGCCCAAATTCAGGGTGCCAGGACCACATCTGTGTCTCATGCTTGGTGCAGCATTTTAGGAGCCATGGGAGAGTTGCCAGCACCCCTTTGCTCTCCCACTTTCACCCCAAAGGAGCTGGTCCAGGGGAATGGGTGCCACCAGGCAATGGGTGCTCATGCGCGAGGGCGGGTAGAAGTCCTTGCTTGTCCCCAGCTCTTTCCTTAAAAGCAGCAGGGGAAATCAATAAATTAAGGAAGGACAGGAAAGGGGACCATACAATTAGACCTGATTTTATTTTGCTCCGTAGCCACCGGCGTCACTCTTGCCTATAGAGTCAGAAAGGAATTTTTGGTCGTCGCTGATAAAATCCCATTTATCCATAAATTCTACAGCTCCCGGCACTGACAGCAGCATCCATTTATCAAAATTCCCAAGTTTCAACATCAAATTACCAACTCGTTAAATCTGGGGGTATCTGGAGCTGGCAATTTAGCCTGCGGTGTTATTTGCTAAACATAGGCAAAACACATTAGGGTTTTTTTTTATTATTATTATTATTATTATTATTAGTGTAAATGCAGCTGGATAATTTAGATCTGGGTTTGGATTAGGATCTTGGCCAGTGTCTGTCGGTTTGTCTGGATTACCAGGACATGCTCTGAAGCTGTACAGCTTCTGGGAAGAGGGAAGGTGAAGAAGAGACAAGGTGTGGTTAGATGGGCAGAAAAGCAAAAAAATGTGGCTTTGCAAGGCGGCGCCTCTGCAGAAGTGGAGCAAAACCAACATGATTCAGCAGATGAAGCTGTAAAATATTCCAACCTTTGAAGTCAAGGCAGTTCAGCCTGACCATTCATGTATCTCAGAAGTTACTAGGAGATAAACGCGGGAAACATTACACAGCTCGGTAAATATGCGTTCATCAGAGTACCCGTAATTGCCATTGTGGGGATTTTTGCTTTTATAGAACTACAAACT